GTGTGTGTGTGTGTGTACACGCCAGAGAAAGCTTGCTAAGCATAAAGTCCAAGGCCTTTGAATGGCCAAAGAAGAGGCCAGAGGATAATACCCAAGTAGGAGAGGGTTCCTGGTACCAAGTTGTACCATGTGGTCTCTGAAAACTCTTTCTTAGGGTGCAAAGGGTACTCAAGCTCTCCAGGTTAAAAGTCACTAGCCTCAACACAGGAACCACCTGGCAGATCAGAGTGAGCTGGGTCGTTGGCTGGAGTTTGGATGTGAGTTCCAACTATAGCGTCTTCATATCTGAATTCTCTTCAGATATATTCTATTTTCTTAAATCAAGTCAATGAAAGACAATATGGAAAAAACACAAACTTCTCAAGTCTGCAGAGGCGCAGCTAAGGAACATTTTATGAGCTTCATTTCACTCATCAGGAAGAGAGATGAAAGGAACTTTCCCTAGCACATATTTGGCAAGATTCAGACCATCGAGAAACAAAAAGAACTCAAAAATAAAAGGTAAAATTCTTGACCTCAAGCTTATAATCTAGTCGGAAAAAATTAGACTAATACATGAAAAGGCAAATAGTAATACAGATATTCTTATCTAGAGCAGGGGTTCTCTACTTTGGCATTACTGATACTGGGGCCAGATGGTTCTTGATTGTGGAAGACTATCCCATATGTAGAGTGGATAGATACTGTGGCACCTCCCCCTCAGCTGTGAAAACCAAACATGTCTCTAGACATTGGCTTCTTTAAAAACCCTTGATCTTAAGTAACTGTAAAGTTTATCATAAGGATCACTACAATCAATAAAACAGCATTGTGGAGCACTCCCAGACTATTTCTAGAGATAAGTCTGCAGTACCCCTCCAAGCAGCTGTGTAGGGTCTTACATGCCCGCTATTGACTTCATTACTATACCACCTGGCCTGCTTTTCTCCTTCAAGTTGATTCATTTATTTCACTCAGATGTAGAACATCTCAAGAGGAAGCTTTAAAATCTTTTCTGATACACGTTGGGGGTGGGTGGAAATAATTCAACTATAGGACATGGAGGTATGGGGGAGGGAATTGATACAACTACAAATCATGAAGCAATGTTACTCAAAATTTGACAAATACCTTTTTACTACATTTCCATCAACTTGAGCCAAAGGCCAACGGAGGATAACAGCTCTTTCAGGCCTGGCCCTCTGTTAGAATGGATTTCACTGAAAAGCTGAGAAAGGCGGCTGTCTGCAGAATGAAAGGTCTGTAACTCTCAGTATCAAAGACCCAGGGATGAGAAGAACCATGAATCCTAATGAAATTTTTTTCCTCATTTTTTTTTTTTAAGATTTCTTTATTCATGCATACAGAACTGGCCAGAGGTGCAGGAGTAATGAAAAGATTCACCAGACAAAGTAGGGAGCTAGACAGGCAGACTGATGAAGTACACTGCTGAGGGGAGAAGTAGATGGCTCAGGAGAGGTCTGCCATGCCATGTGGATCACCTCCGAGGCCAAGGGTCAAACTAGCACTGAAGCAGCTGTGGCCAGCTTACAGTGTTGTGCTGTAGCCCGCTGCACCACCAGGAAGTGCCCTAACGAAATTTTCTATACATATAAAATGTATTTTTCTACAACAAAGAATCCATATCATTTTATTTTCTGACCAACGTAGAACACAACTTTCATAACACAACTTAGAAATGATCCTTATTTTGCCAATTAAACATATAAGGGATACTATATTCAAGAGTACAGAGTAAAATGTGTGTATGTATGGTGCCTGGCATATAACTTCTATACAAGTGATAAACATAATTAGCTCTTATCATATATACACTTATATATGATAAGAGCTAATTATTTATGCATACGAGAACTGAGGTACAGGCGGGGGGAGGGCAGATGAGAGGATTCACCAGAGACAGAGTAGGAAGCAGAACTTGCTGAGGGGAGTAGCAGGTGGGTCAGGAGAGGTCTGCCATGTGGTCACCTGGTCTCCTGCTTCAGTGGTGGGGGATAGCTTCACAGAGCTGTGCTCTAACTCACTTGAACCAGGGAGGGGCCTTACTATATATCTTAAAGGAGTCTTTTGAAATTGGGTTTCAGGGTGAAATAGAAGGTATGAATCTTCATCTTTATTCAGATTTACCAAGGCCCAGAAGTTAAGTCACAAGCTTAAGAATTTAGTTAGTAAGTGGCGACAACTTAAACCCAGTGTGATCCATGTTCAAGGATCATTTCATGGTGGTATGATAACTTCAAGATTTATTAACACTAATTGATCACCTTACAATTATCAAACTGGAGGTATTTGGGTCACCAGAGGACAATGGCAATATCTGGATACATTTTTAGTTGTCACAAATGGATGTGTGTGGGGGTGAATAGGGGTCTACTGGCATCTATTGCAAGGCGCCAAGGATGATGCTAACATTCTACAATACAAAGGATGGTCCCCACAGCAATTATATAGTGGAGAAACCCAACCAGGAAAATGAAGACCAAAAGTATGCCTATTTTGCCCTCCCTGGTGGTGCAAGGGTGTTAAAGCTCAGCACTATGAGCTCTCCGCAGCCACTGCAACCTAAGTTCCATCCCCAGCTAGGGAGCTGAACCACATGGCACAACAGACCTCTTCTGTCTTGCATGCTGCAACCCTCAGCAGTGTACTTCAGTCAATCCACCTATTCTGTTTTCCGGTATCTCTGATGAATCCTCTCAACCCCTGCACCTCTAGCTGTACCCCAGTTCTTGTATGCATAAATAAATAAATCTTTTAAAAGCATGTATGCCTATTCTCCAACAGATATTCTCCTTTTCCTTTTAATTTGCCTATTTGCACTGGCCCTTCTATCCAAACTGAATAGATCCTCTCTAACCCAGGGAAAATATTGAGTCCTTCCCTCTTTGGACTCTGAGACATCTGAAAATGATGTTCAAGTCCCATAAAGGAGTGAGGAGACATGCTTGTAAGCGAGGAAGCTAAGAAGTTAAAATGATTCATTCTCCAAAGAACCATGGTCACTTTATGCATACAAGAACTGAGCTACAGTTATCCAAACTAAGTATGATTTAATGGTCACTATCAACCATTCTGGCTTCCAGCTAAGCAACTCTTCACCCCAAAGCAGCTCTCAATATTCACCAGTCTTTAAAGAACTGCTTAGTAGTGATCCAGACCATGATCATATCCTGTAGGAGAGTGGTAATTTATCCCGATATTTCTTCCACGCATTCAAGAAGTCAGAGGTTTATTTCAGGAGATTTAAAAAGTAAAGAAATTAGTTAAATTAATTAAATCCCATCCAGTCAGTCTTATTTTCTACAGCAGTTTGTAGTTTAGAGAAGCAACTGAACACTACCAACTGTACCGTGAAGAAGGCAAAGCAGATATCATTATTATTACTGACCTAGGCAGAGCATTTTAAAATGCAAATTTCTTCAGACCTTCATTTACAGTGCAGATAATTTTCTTTGCCTCATTCACAACCATCATAATTTAGAATTACTAAACATTTGCCCAATTTTCCAGGAAAAGATCTATACACTATACATTCAGGAGAGCAACACAGAAAATATTCAAGTTTATGGTTTTTGCTTTCATGCACAATAAACCTAGTTGTATTCTTGTAAATTATGGAAATGTCAGTAGCTGTAGTTAACATTTATTTTATATACTTAGTGGGAAAGCACTGCTGGATGAAGGAATACAGAGGTGAAACAGTCCCCAGCTTTGGGGTCAGATGGCAAAACACTCACAGGGACAGCACCTACCTAATAGAGTAATTCATGAAGAATGGTGACAGAAGAAAAGGTAACTTCACCTAGGTCCTGAAAATGAGCAATATATCACACAAGAAGATGAAAGGAGAAAGCACCTCTGATCGAAAGAGCATAGATGTTCAGCTAGTGCAGTAGCAGACAGCATTCTGGGATCAAGTTCAAAACTAAAAAGCTACATGTATTTTTTTAAAAAGCCTCTTTAAAAAAAAAACTACATACTTGAAAAGAAACCTATAGTTCCACTTTGGAAAAAAAAAAAAAAAAACCAACTCTGCACTCTAGTTCAAATGCAAAGTAGAAATGAGAAACAAGACAACCAGAGTGACCATTTGCCTGTCCTCAGTGGAATCAGGTAAGAATTGGGGCTATAGGTTGGAGGACATGCAGTTCCTGGGCTTCAGTACTGTCAAGGACAGAAGAGGTTCTGACCTCATTTTTCTGGGGAGGAAAGATCAATTCCTCTAGTTTTTAACAAGGTAGAACTAGGACAAAACTGCTGGTTACCATTGGCTTCCTGCACCACAGTCCGTTCTCAATCAGGTCTGAGAGTCCATTACCCCAGGGTGAGCTTGGGGCCACAGCTGAAGAGCTAAGAAAACTCCTTTTCTAGAAAACACGTGTGTCCTATTTGTCCCTACCCAAGTCACCATCAAGTCGTCAGAAGCTTGGTTCCTTCCAGGGTGTGCTTGGGACCTCAGCCATGAGCCTAGAATTCTGCGACCAGATTCCCCCAATTGGGAGCACTGTCACCAGATTCAGGTCTTGGCACAGGCAGTTAACAGCGCTTTCTGGTGCCAGAGATGTGCAGATTTCGGGTCTTCACCAGGTCACTCAAAGGTCACAGGGGATATTCACGCATATTAACACACTGGATCATCTGAGTACATCCTGGCCGATGCAGACAGTGGGAGAAGTTAGCCTAGCAGGAGTTAGCTGGTGCGCAAGGCCGCTCCCTAGAGCCAGGCCACTGTCCCTTCACGGACCACAGGTGGGCGACCAACGGCACAGCTCTAGTGCAGGAGAGGGATGGGGAGATGCTGAATCAACACTACCAGCGGAGCACGTGCTCCGGCTCACCCACCTCCCAGCGCGGGGGACAAAGTCCGCTCCGGCTGGCTCCAAGACTACCGCACCGGGAGTCGGGGGTGAGACAGTTAGGGCCTGCGCACGGCTCTGACTCAACTGTAGAATCTGCCCCAACTCTGGGCTCAGCCTCCCACGACCCCCGCGCGCACTCACCATTGTGGTTGACCCAGGTCGGCTTCAGGAGCTTCATTGTTCGGCCGCCGCCGCCGCCGCCGCCGCTGCCGCCGGGCTCAGGCAAGAGCCGCGTCCCTCAGCTTGCCCGGGCCATGGAGCCACCGCTGCCGCTTCCTCCTGCACAGCCCGCCCTCCGGCCGCCGCCCGCCACGTGCCCTCAGCGCCGCCGCGCCATTACCGGCTCGCGCCCCCCGCCGCCGCCACAGCCGCCCCCCAAGTTCGGCCGCCGCCGGCGCCGCCACAGCCTCATCCCCTGCGCCGCTCCTCCTCCGGCGGCTCCCGGGCAACGCCGGAAGTCACGGCGCGCACCTGCCAAATCGCCCCGGCGGGAAACCGCTCTCTGCGCGGTTGGGGCCGACTGAGCTGTTCGCGGACGAGGACACTGCTGGGCAGCTCCACTTTGGCTCTGACCCGGCGCGGCAGCCTCCTAGAGCAGAGCAGGCTCAGTCCACTGTGGGCAAGAAGACCCCTAGTTGCAGCCCTGGCCAGCGGAGTTAAGCGGGGTCGGGTGACGTAGACGGTCTCTAGCCAGCTATACCTCGCCGGTTCGGAACGACTAATTAACTAGCTTCCGTCATTCATCAACACGCGCTTGTTTATTGGGCATCTCGCGAGCGCCAGGCCACGTGCCAGCGTAGACCTGTAGACATCTGCGGGTGCCCGTGGCCGGGAATTCGAACGAATGCGGGTTGGGTTAGGGGTTGAGCTTGACCCGGGTAGAGGCGAACACGTTTATTGGAAGGTCAGAACCATTTTCATAGATGTGGACACTTGGACCCGGAGCAGCAGAGTTACGCTCCTGGGCCACTCCGTCTACCATGAGAAGTCTTGGCCCTAAAGGCACAGGCCTATTACATACAGCAGAGGCGAGTGTAACTAAGATATGGGCCACACACGATGTGGGGTGCTCTAGTTGTTCTTGCGAGCGGCCAGGAGGTCCAGGAATCTGCTACGTCGGGGGCGGGGCCAGACGGGCTCTAAACCGGAACTTGGGAGCGCGGGGCGGCGGGATTGGCGGACCTTTACGCAGGGCAACGCCTGTCGGACCGCGAGTGGCGCTTTCCCGGAAGCGACCTTTTGGCTGTCAGAGGGGCAATGGCCGCCGCGGTGATTGGAGCTTCCGCGCGCGTTTTGCGCCCAGCGAACTGGTGAGTGCTGATACTCGCGGAGTCATAGGGTGCCTACGGCGTGCGCCGAGGCCGAGCTCTTGGTTGTACAACTTGGCAGGCCACTCCTGTCCACGGATTTGTCTGGGATGAATCACCTGATCACGTCTTCTCTTGTGGATGAAAATTTCATGACCCCAAAGAGCAGTGACCTTGTCCAGGTGCTCCCTGTTAGGAAAGGGAAATTTTTAAAGATTTCCTACATTATCATGGACTGTCACATCCAGCAATTACAAGCTGGTTTTGAGGACATTGTAAAACTTTTTATCCCTGTGTAGTAGGGAAAATTGTTTTATGTATACCCATCTTTTTTCAGGTTTATGGGGACTTGGCAGACACAGATTAGAGACACCCACCAGCGAGCTACTTTGTTGTCCTTCTGGGAACTCATTCCCACGAGGTAAACGCTATCATGGGCCTGACCACATTGAGGATGTCAGAGGAAGATAAATGTGTGAGTGAATAGTGCAGAAGATTGTTTGCAAAGTAAACGGCTGCAGTTTCTCAATTTGGACAGATGCTTCTCATTCAACATTCTCTACATGGAATAATTAATTAAAAAATCAGTGTAAAAGAAGTTTAAGTATTCATTAGCTCTAATGTGATTTTTGTGTGTGTTTTTAAGGCACAACATAAACTTATTTCACTGTGGGCCTTCCATTTCTGAGTCTCTGAAGAGATGGGGACTGTTATATGAGTATTGCTTTTCCACCTAGGGCTCTGGATACTTTCTGGAAACATGATTTTTAAAACTTGGTCTTGATGCTAGAGAATTTGATTTTTACTTATTTTATTTTTTTGGTGAATTATCAGCATAGGAACTGTGTTCCTTAGAGTAAATCTCATTTTTTCAATGCTTTATGTTGGGAAAATTTGTTGTTAAGAAATCACAAGGAGTAAATAGTGACATGCCAGTTACTTTTTATTATAATGTCTTGTTTTTATAAACCACAAGCCCATTTAAAATGTGAGTAATTAATCTTGTATTTTCGCTTTTCAGTACAATCCCAGGACATACCTGAGCCTCAGCTCTAAAGATGAACAGTTCCCCTTAGTTTTACCCTGACACCCCATTAAGCTTTTTCACTCCTTTCTGGTTCTTACAAGGACCAGAAAAAGTGTGCATTGAAAAAGTGTGATTTACTCTAAGGAACACAGCTCCCGTGCTGATAATTTACTAAAAAAATATCAAATTCTCTAGCATCAAGACTAAGTTTTAAGAATCAAGTTTCCAGAAAATATCCAGAGCCCTAGGTGGAAAAGGGGGGTGAAGAGTGTCATCCTGACACACTGGGATCATAAAGCCAGGCCCTTCCTCAGTGGAAAGTTCAGTTCAAGTTTGGGGTATACTACATTCAGTAGCATGTTCTTCTAACATGTTTGATATACTGAAGAGGAAAATGTTTAATGCTTACTTTATCCATTAGAGCAGAACCACTGAAAAAGAAGAAGAAAGTAGATCCTAAAAAAGACCAAGCAGCAAAGGACCGTTTGAAAAAGAGGATCCGAAAATTAGAAAAGGCTAGTCAGGAGCTAATTCCTATTGAAGATTTCATTACCCCTGTGAAGTTCTTGGATAAAGAGAGGTAAGAGTCCTCTAGGTTGAGCTTCTCAGAGCAGAGTGTTCCATTATCTCCAGGTAATTCTAACTTCATGGGGTATCCTGTGATGGTAACTCATGAGTAGGCATACATGGACTTTGACCTTCTCTGATTTTTTTCTCCTTCTTTGTGTTTTATGGCAACTAAAGAAAGCATATTTTGGGTGGTAACTTTTGAATGAATAAATGTGAAAAGGATACTCAAAATAGTTGTTTGAGAAGTCAGGCCAAATCAGCATTGCTCTGGAATTCACACTGTTCCCCTTTAGTAAGAGCAGTTTCAACTGGGATTGATGAATAGAACCTTGTTGTGTCTTCAGCCTTTGCCCAACCTTGATGATAGAAATCCATAAAGCATCTGCTGTACGATATGCAAATGCTAATAGTTGGGATGTGTTGTATGTTATGTTGTTACCTTATTGTAAAAAATGTCTATCACTTAAAAGTAGCACACAAGTACTGTTTTTTTTTTGTTTTGTTTTGTTTTTTTTTTTGGTATTCCTGGGCTGATTTAGATTCTTGATTCCTGGAATTTTGGTATTCATTTTTATAACACTATTTTACACTTACAAGCTACCTCTCAACAAGGTAATTTATGCCTGGGGTAGATATACTACAGACTCTGAACTTACTATTTCTTATCTCTGTGAAAACCAAGTAACACTGGTTGACATCAGTTGCAATGGCTGCCATTCCTTAACTTGTCCCAAACTTCCATTTTCTTAAGTCTCATCCATGTTTTAGCAGTGGGGATGCATGAGTCATATGAGTTACCCAGACTTCCTGGCTAGGAACACCAGTCCTTCACATCTTTGAATTTGTGTGTTCCCAGACAACGGCCCCAGGTGGAACTCCCTTTTGAGGAGAGTGAACGGAGAGCTCTGCTTCTGAAGAAGTGGTCTCTGTACAAGCAACAAGAGCATCAGATGGAGAGGGATGCCATTAGGTCAATGCTTGAGGCCCAGCAGGAAGCTCTACGGGAACTGCAGCTCACATCCCCAGAACTCCATGTGGAAGCCATCAAGAGGGACCCCAACCTGTTCCCTTTTGAGAGGGAAGGGCCAGATTACACACCACCAGTCTCCAACTATCAGCCTCCTGAAGGCAGGTACCATGACATCACCAAGGTGTACACACAGGTAGAGTTCAAGAGATAGAATTGTAGACAACTGTCCCCAGAACATGTGTTCTGTAGAGCCAGAATGACCAGAGTTCAAGCCTGCTTGCCAGACACTCTGATATATGATGAATAAATACAAGCTTAATTGTCTGTGTTTTATGTGTCAAAATTTACCTGATGATGCTTGGGTTGAGCCACCCGCTTCTTGCCAGGTGCTATAGAGATGACCAAGATGCACAGCTACGTCCAGTAAAAATATTCTAATTGCATTGTTGCAGACTCTGGGTAGGAGATACAAAGTACACTAGCAGAACAGAGGTGAAGGACATGCAGGCTGTTGCTGACTACACAGGCATACAGAGAGGAGAGGCAGGGGCCTCCTGCTGGGGCAATCAGAGCATAGGTGTTTCCTTGCATCATTAGTAGGTTTTGAGTTTTAAGCTGAAGAGAATGGAGCAAGCCTGGGACATCCTTGTTAACAAAGTTGCTGTGTCCCCCAGGCCCATCTTTGTTCAAGTGCTTTTTAGTCTGGATTGGTATGTGTATTCGTGTATTAGAGCTGGCAAAATAAAATGCTTGGCTGCATGGATTTAACAAATGTGTTTCTGGAGGCTTGAACTCCAGGACTGAAGGTGTTTCCAGGTGGCTTCTCTTGAGACCTCTCCTTGGCTTTCAGAAAGCTGCTGCAGGTCATTCTACATCTATGTCCTTATTTGTTGTAATGAGAACACAAGTCGTTGGGTTAGAACTCATCCGAAAGACCTCGTTATACCTTACCCCTCTCTTTATTTTAAGATTTGTTGTATTTATTTATACATACAAGAACTGTGGTGTAGGCCAAAGGTTGGGTTCAGCACTATGAAGCTATCTGCAGCATGAGTTCAAATCCTGGCTAGAGAGGTGACCCACATGACATAGCAGACTAGAGTCCTGTTTCACTTAATGCTTCCCTCAGCAGTGTATTTCAGTGGAGCTGCCTGTTCTGTTCCACACTGGTGAATCCTCTCATCCCCCTGCACCTCTGGCCAGTACCCCTGTTCTTACATATATAAATAAATAAATCTTTAAAAAATATATGAAAAGACAGTTCTAATAACTGAAGTTCCAGTGTATGAATAGAGCCTTTTCTCCTAGTAACTGGCATAAGTACCTCAAAAAAACTTGGCCTTTCTGTGCTGGTAAACCAGGGAAACTTTTCATTTGAGTAAGAATTCAGCCATGATTAAGGATTTTTAATCATTTGTCTCTACTTGAGATAAGATGTTGAACACAGTAACTTTTTTAAAAAAAAAGATTTATGGAGAGAGCCTCACAGTGTTACACTTTAACTGGTTATGCAAACAGGGAGGGCAGAACACAGTAACTCTTCATAATTTTACTGCTACAATTTAACTCTTTCCACTGCAGCAGCCCATTCATATGTCCAGCTGGGTACCCTGACTCCTCTGCACAGCCTTGTGGACCTGTGGCTATCTCCACTCAGATAACTGCATCCTGACCCAACTGCAGCTTACATACCCTGTCTCCCACAATATCAGCCTGTAGCACTTGTTCCTTATGACCTGTTGTGGCCCACTCTCTGCCTTGCAGGCTTGAGTCTCATCTGGGTCGCCGCTCAGAACCTGGGGCCTGCCCATTGCAGGTGCTTAATAGTAGTGTTTTTGAAAGTTATTAATAAGAGTCATGAGATTGTATAATCAGTTCAGTGCATCATGCCCAGCAGTTTAGCTTTGTAATTTTGAAGTAATTACATAGACAAAGGAAGCTGGAAATAAACATATAGGGAAGGGCTGTGTGCTGTTCCCCCCAGCACTACCATCTTTTTACTTTTTTAAAAAATATTTATTTATTTATGCATACAAGTACTGGGGTGTAGGCCAGAAATGCAAGGGGTGAGAGGATTCACCAGAGACAGAGTAGGGTACAGAAAAAAGGCAGATTTACTGAATAAACTGCTGGGAGCAGCAGGTGAAACAGGAGCAGTCTGCTGTACCATGTGGGTCACTTCCCTGGCTGGGGATCAAACTCATGCTGCAGTGGCTGTGGACAGATTCACACAGTTGTCCTTGCGCCACCAGGGAGTCTCCAGCCTACCATCTTGTATACCATGGTAATGCCAATACACAGAAACTAACACTGGGTTGACTCAGTTTTATCTCTGCACTCATATGTTTGAGTCTACATGGTTTTATTACCTATAGCCCTGCGCAAATACAACCATCACCACAGGACATCCTCATGTACTCTTATAACCACACTACCACCACCTTCCACCCACCCTTAACCCCTAGCACCAGGTTTTCAGTTCCTATAATCATACCATTTCAGTGAAGTTACACTAATAGAATCAGGTCATATGTATCCTTTAAAATTTTTTTTCAAACAGCATAGTTTCCTTGTGTTTCATCTAAGTTGCTGAATATAATTTATCATAGCTCAGGTCTAAAAATGTCCATGTATCACATGGTATACATTAAGTATTTTGTGAAACTTGTTTCAGTGACAAATGCTGTATGTAATAGTATGTACCAAATTTTAACAAAAAGCACTGAGTTGTGTCTAGTGTGAAAGACACTGCTCTATAAAGTCCATTTCCTTTAGCTCTCTCAGCATCACTTTGTTTAGTGTTTGTCCCCTAACAGTATAGTTGGTGCTCTATGAAGTTTGAAGACTACAGTGTTCCAGAGTCCCTGTCCCAGAGCCTTAAACCTTGCCATGTGTAGCAGATACTCAGATATTGTGAAAGAGTAAACAGGAGTGAATGCATCAACATTCTGCCTAGATGAGGATCTGTTCATGTGGAACTTGAATAGACTAGAAGGGATAATGCTTCCTAACACAGCATTCAGTAGCAGGCTGCCCACTGTACTAAATAAGCAGATAACAGGAAGTATAGTTCCCTTGAGGAGGCCCCTCAGAACTGACTGCTGTATTGGCTGCTGCTCATGCTTGGCTTTTCCTGTATGCTTCAGACATTCCCCAGAGCCCTCAACCCCAGGGTGCAAGTCTAGGCATCCTATGCAGTGGTACTTGGTTTACTGTGTTTCAGAGTGAGAATACTTGAAGATCTCTAGCTGCCTTCCCCCCCACTCTGCCTTAGCCAGAAATGCTAATTAAACCAGTCATAGCCAGAAGACATACCCTGGTTGGTAGCTAGATACTTGAAGACTTCGCCCTGCAGTAGAGGTACCCTGCTTCTGGGGTTCTAGGCACAAATACCTCTACCACTCACAGGCATATACACACGGTTTTTTTTTTTTAAGATTTATTTCTGCATACAGAACTGGGGTACAGGACATAGGTGAAGGGGCGGTGAGAGGATTCACCATAGTCAGAGTGGGAAACAGAACAGGCAGATTGATGAAGTACATTGCTGAGGGAACAGCAGGTCAGACAGCAGAGGTCTGCTGCGCCATGTGGATCACCTCCCTGGCAGGGGATCAAACTCTCACCGAAGCAGATGCGGCCAGTTTCACGTGCTGCACTTTAACCCACTGCACCACCAGGGAGAGCCCACACAGGGATTCTTACAGGCAAACAAAATGCACATGAGAGAAAATTTTAGTCTTTAGTGCATGCTCTTTGGAAGAGATTATTTTGCACTCCCCCCCACCCCCCCCCAAAAAAAAAATAGGTTAAAAGATATTTGAACCATGACCTGTGAGCAGGTGGGCCCAGTTGTGAGGGAAGTACTAAGGAAAACACATGGATTCCACTGTGAAGGAAAGCAGTGAGGGTACTAGGTCCATCTTATCCTCAGCACCACACAACGGGACTTGTTATTCATCCTAAGATGATTAATCATTTTATCAATAATAAAGAGACCTCTTTGAGAACTAGTTCTTGTTGGTACATACATGTGTATTTTAAAAATGGCTACAAGAATATGCATATACAAAATCCTGAGACTGAGCACATTATCAAGTGTGAAATCTAACTGAACAAAATTAAACTGTGGATTTAATTTTCAGCTCTTTTTTTGGAATCTCATGTGTGAACTGATTTTTGATATATTCTGCATTTTCTAAAAAACAACCAGGAAAATGTTGAGGGAAGGAGATCAAAATTCCATGTGACTTGTATTTGTTTCTTAAGTCAGGAATCCATGTTATGCAAACTTGCATATTGTGTAGCTGTGTGCATTTAAAAACTATAGTTTCCAAGGGGCCTATTGTGAAGTGAAGCAATGCAATATGCAGGTCCAGAGGCTGCCTGGACACAGAGGAACTGTCATGGGACTCTGCCAACTGTGAACTGGCATTGCATGATCATCACCAAGGGCCAGGAAAGCCAGCCATTGTAGCACAACCACTTAGCTACCTTATTCTGCCCTGTCATATGTCCACACAGCTCATGGTCACCACTCAAAAGATTACTTGGAATTCTAGGCCTCAGGGCAACCATTTTTTGTGCTGTTGTCCCCGGCCTCGGGGGGTGGGTTGGATTGTAAACCTGCCTGACCTAGAGGCTCAGAGAGCTGGCTTCCTGGAAATGGTGTGGTGGGCACAACTATCTTTATGATTGTAGCAGAATAGGGCACCCCTACACCAGTGTGAGGGGTGGGAAAAGAGGGCTGCAGAAGGCGGGTACCATGTTATGAGCCAAGCAGCTCTCAGGGGTCCATAGACTGTGCCAGTTAAGAGTCCTTAGGATCGATCACACTTGGAACTGACCAGAGGAGATTGTGCAGGGCCTCATCACTTGTCTTTCTCCTCCTGCAGAGGGAGGTGCCAGTCTGTAGGAGGGCTCTGCCTTGGGGTCCACACCAGGGAGTGCTTCTGTGCAGCCTGGACTCTTGCACGTTCACTCTCACAGAGGGACCGCTATACAAAGGAAACTATGGTTACTTGCGGTTTCATGTGCCCACAGAGACTGTATCCTCTTCCCTCTTGGCACCCTTCCAGACACTGATAGAGAAGAACAGTACACACCACTCTGAAGTTTGGCTACTTCCCCTTAATATGCTTTAGCAATTACTCTATATTTGTATACACAGACCCAGATACTTATTTCTCCCAAACAACTGAAAAACTCTTAGATTCCCATCATTTGAGGTAATTTTTTTTATTGTTATTAAAGTACCAATATTTTGCATCTTTGCTAGTGTTTTGACAGTATAAGATTAACCTCCCCCACCCTAGGTATAATCACAGTAGCACTCCACCACTGAAGCAGCCATCATCTTCCACCATAGTCATTGTGTTTTTCCCCAACCATTTTCACTACAGTATGAGGACATTTTAAAATGTCTTCTCATATAGGCCTCAGAGCTTGATACTTTCAGTTATAAGGGTGGGGGTTGAGCTGGGAGGGACAAAAGTCCAAAGGAGTGGCCAGTAGGGAAGAAGATAAAGCAAGAGACACATATCCAGGACTCCCTGAACAGGCAAGGAGTCCTGATGACAGTTAACAGGTGCTGCTCAACCCATGGGCTTCTCTCTGCCACTGTCTCCACCAAAATCAACACAAGATAGTACATTACAAGTATGACAGGGCACTTGAGGGGGGTGTTTTCCAGGTATATAATGCCATCTTTGTCTACCTGTCTGGTTTTTTTTGCTCAAACTGTATTATCTCATAGTATGCTTTTATTCTTATTTGAAAAGCTGTCAGAAATGCAGATTAGAATATGATACCCATCTCTAAGGTAAAGTTAAGGGTTTCTTTTACACTTTATTAGGCCCATATTTTATATTAATAGCATCTTTCTCTAGAGATGAAACAATCTGCTGGCTGAACTTCCTGCCTTATTTTTTTTTTTTTTTCACTAAGTAGTATGCCAGGGGAGATTAGTACCTATTTTTAATGGTTATGTAGTTCTCTACAGTGTGGGAGAAGTTATTTGGTCAAATGTCTTATTAGTAGAAGGTAGAAGGCTTTCAGTTTTTACCATTACCAAGAGTGATATAATGGACATTTTGAACTTTTAACTGTACAGTGTCACTCAGTTACTTTCTTATGATAAACTTACAAAAGCAAAGCAGCAGGGTCAAAGGTGTATATTTGACATTTAGATAAAAACAGGATATGTGACGCTTCACCAACACTACACCACTACTACCCAACTCTCCAATTCCCTATGGACACTACAGACTTTCATCTAGGCAGAAACTCTTCACTGTTATTTTAACATATACCTTGCTATTTACGTTTCTTTTTTTTTCTTTTTTTAATTTTTTTTTTTTAAGATTTATTTATTCATACAGAACTGGGGGACAGGCCAGAGATGCGGAGGGTGAGAGGATTCACCAGAGACAGAATGGGGAGCAGAACAGGCAGAAGAGTGAAGTACACTGCTAAGGGGAGCAGCGGGCGGGTCAGGAGAGGTCTGCCACGCCATGTGGTCACCTCCAGGGCAGGCGGGAATCAAACTCATGCAGAAGTGGCTTTAGCTTCTTAGTGTTGTGCTTTAACCTGCTGCGCTATTCACTAGGGAGGGCCGCTATTTACTTTTCTTTCTGATCGAATTCCTTTTTCAAGAACTTTGCCCACTTTTCTTTTGCCACTCTTTATGAAATCACCCCACTTTTAATACTGAAATATAAAACACGAAATATATATAAAGGTTTCCACATCAATTTGTTGGAATAATCACATATATTTAACAACTGTTGAAGCAGCAGTCAGTCCTGCTTGTTCCCTTTCCCTTGGCAATTTCCATGGGTTTGCACCCTCACAAACACCTCTCCATGCCACAAAAAGGCCTCCAAGCTGCCACAGTATTCTAGCATAAATGTTTTCCTCTGGGGCCTCCCTGGTGGTGCAGGGGTTAACCACACTCTCAGGCTATTGCCAGCCACTGCAGCATGAGTTTGATTCCTGCCAGGGAGGTGACCCACATGGTGCTGTCTGGCCCCCTGCTCCCCTCAGCAGTGTATATCCACACATCTGCCTGTTCTGCTCCCCACTTTGTCTCTGGTGAATCCTCTCACCACCACTCCCCTCACTTCTGGCCTACACCCAAGTTCTTGTATTCATAAATAAATTTTAAAAGAAAAAATATGTTCACTGCTTTCATCACTCCTGTATCTTCAAAAGTGCAACATAAATTCTGCTGAATGGTTGGACAACTACAACAGAGCGACAGAAATAAAATCATGCCTCCCACTAAATCTTTGGGGAAATTTAAATTCTTTGTAAGGCTCACCAGGTCTCTGGTTTCACTCCTACTTCCCTTAAGCTCACCTTCCTTCTATTCCAGCCATTTGCACTCCTACAGACCAGTTAATACTCCTAACACTGTGGGGAGTGGGGAGTGGGGGGCGGGGGTGAGGGGGGAGCGTCTCACTCTACAAGTTACTGTACACTCCACCCCTCTTGCTTTGTTCGAAGTCTTTAACGGCGTCTGAAAACCCAGTTGACATACTACTCTTTTCATTTCTCTAAAGGAGGGATGTACAGGGGGGAAGGCTATTCTGGCGATGCTCCTCTCCAGAATCCCCGGGGCCTGGAAGGGCGAGGGTGGCCAGGGCAGCGCAGCGCCATCCGCTTCCCCGCACACCTGGGCGTCCGCGCTCCGGCGCTCCTCCCAGTCTCGGCAGCTCATCAGGTCGCGACGCCACTGCTCGCAGGCCGGCCGCTCTCCGTGGACGTAGTAGTGGTGCAGAAAGTGTCTGGCGCTGCGGCAGAGTTTCCATTCCGCGCGGTAGGCCTCGCAGGGGCGCGGCGGCTGTGGCGAGAGATGCACTTAAGCCCGTGACCACTGCGCCCAGATCCCAGGGCCCCTAATCTAGTCCCTTCTGGGGTGAGAGCAGGGTTTATCCCGACGGTGCTAAGAGACCTCCGCAGGGCCCAGGTACCGGTCACACTTACCCTCCAGCCGCCGTCGTCAGCCATGTCCAGGAGACTGCAGAGCCCACCTCCTGAGCCCCCTTAGTCAATGAAGATTGCGGAGAGCCAGAATCGCGTGATTGACGGATAGATAAACCAATGATCTCCGAGAAATGGACACTAATTCCCCCCTCTCCTCCCGGGCTGCGTTTGACAAGCGCCAATAAACAGTCGTCAGAGCTGGATAGCCAGTAACAGCCGGGGGCGGGGACACGCGTGGGCTTGGCTGCGGGTGGTGACTGGCAATCCACTCCGTGCCGGGTGGCATCCCCGGCTGCCGTACCCACTCTAAGCCGGTGATTTCTGAAGCGACACGCTGCAGGCCAGTTCATTTCAGTAACTTTTTTTCTTCAATCTCAACGAACTGGGCCATTTTATAAGTGAGCGTCAACTCCGTGCCCCGATGTACTGGAGACAGTGGTCTCCTACCAAGTGCCGACGCAGGGCAGAGATGAACTTACAAAGTAACCGGGTTTGGATATGCGTGGAGTGTTGGTCGGGGGGCACCGGGATGCTGACTGATCTCCTGAGAAAACTCAGACTGGAAATGGGAATTCCAACCTAGCCTCAGGCTGGTCAAAGGCTTGAAGGCTGTGTGGCATTGGTTTAGGGGGGCATTAAAATCTGGGGATATGTCTGATTAGATAGATTAGATGTTGTAGGGTAAATGAAAGTTATCAGGGTTTTTCCATCGTCCCGCCATCAGCATCAATGGACACCTGTGATCTTACACACGTGCAGATGGCGGCACCTGGCTGTGGTGCGGTCATGGCTAAGTAGACACACCTGAGCATGGAGGCCGAGGCTGTAAGGGTGGGGAGCCGAGCGTGGAGAAGTTTAGCAGGAGAGCCCGCAGTAGATACCAGTGAAGAGACCACAGATAGTGGTACAGCTGTTCCAGGCTGGGAGTCATCCCAGCCTCTTGCCACCCCACCTCCCTCTTCCCCCATGCCTGCCCTGGGCCTGGTTGTTGCCCTACCAAATGATGTAGAAAGAGCTTCAAACTCCTGAAAAACCCTCTGAGGGCTTCAGGACTCCACCTTACCTGTCTGCCTGGGTCACAGAAAACCTGCACCGTGCCTTGCTGGCACTATAGACATGAGGCTTTATTCTGAAGGGTAGAGAGAACTTGGAACGTTTATAAATAACACAGATGTACAAGCAGTAATAAATACAAAGATGCTGGGGCACAAATGTCCTGAGTATTAGGCAGAACCCTGGTATAATGAGGCATCCCTGATGGGCCTAACTGTAACAATATAAATGTAGTAAAGGGGAGGTTCCATCATTCCAGTTCCACCTAAGGAAGGGCAGAGCTGAGTGACTAGAGGCTAGAAAGGCCTGCTGGAGAAGCTGGGAGACGGGGATGAGAGGGGACACATGGGCAGGTGTGTTTAGGAGGGCATACTTGCTTCTCAGCTTTGGACTTGCCCCAGGGACTTGGGGGACTGGATGTGGAAGGAGACACAAATACAAGACATATAGAAGACTTTGGAAGAGACATGGGTGAGTGCAGTGGAGACTGACAATGCCATCTGTTACCTGAATTTGTTCCTTTCATTCTAGATTTGCCTGGCTTTCTGTCCCTTTCCCATTTCCCACTAAAAGGTACCTCAGACTTGTGTCAAGTTTTCAGGTCTCAGTGGCCCCAGTTCATGCCAACCCTGTTTGACTGGGAATGGACCTGTAAGAGGATGGGTGTTTCATTGAGAAACTATATACTTTCTTCTCTATGTACACTGTTCTATTAAAAGTTCTTTCACACCAAGAGTATGCTTTGTCTTTATGGGGTGGATGGCAGAATTAGCAAAACCCATTTTTAAAAAAAATTATTTATTTATACATACAGAACTGGGGTACAGGCCAGAGGTGCAGGGGCATTCATAGGATTCACTAGAGACAAAGTGGGGTGCAGAAGAGGCAGATCGACAAAGTACACTGCTGAGGGGGGCAGCCGGTGAGAGACAGAAGAGGTCTGCTGAGCCATGTGGAATTGGCTGTGGCCAGCTGGCACTCCTGCATCCTAACCCGTTGCCCCAGCAGGAAGGGCCGAAAACCCATTTATTTTAAGATTTAAGTTTTTATGCATATAAGAACTTGGGTTTAGGTTAGAAGTGTGAGGGGTTGAGTGGATTCACCAGGGGCAGACTGGGAAGAACAGCTGAGGGGAGCAGTGGGTGAAACAGAAGGTTTCCTTTGCAGTATGGGTTAACTCCCTGATTAGCAATTAAACTGCAGTGACTGCTGGCAGCTTCATAGTGCTGAGATTTAACCCCTTGCAGCACTAGGGAGGTCCTAGCAGAACCCATTTAGAGTACATTTTTTGGGGTCCCAGTATATCCCTCAGTCTACCTACCAACATAACCACCCCACCCTCGGTTGGTCACAGGGCCTTATTTATATTCTCTAGAAGTCCAGAGGAGCTCATTTTTTTAAAAAAATTATTTATTTATTCATACAGAACTGGGGTACAGCCCAGAGATGCAGAGGGTGATAGGATTCACCAGAGACAGAGCGGGGAACAGAACAGGCAGATCCACGAAGTACACTGCTGAGGGGAGCAGCGGGCCGGTCAGGAGAGGTCTGCCACCCCATGTGGTCACCTCCGGGGCAGGCGGGAATCAAACTCATGCGGAAGTGGCTTTAGCTTCTTAATGCTGTGCTTTAACCCGCTGCGCCACCAGGGAGGGCCAGGAGCTCATTTTTAAAAAAAATTTATTTATGCATACAAGAGCTGGGGTACAGGCCAGAATATAGGAGGTGAGAGGATTCAGAGGCAGAGTGGGGAGCAGAATAGCCAAACTGACTGAAATACTGCTGAGGGGAGCAGTGGGCAAGACAGGAGGTCTATCATACCATATGGGTCACTTCCCTGGCTAGGGATACAACTGGTGCTGCAGTGGCTGTGGATAGCTAGCTGCGCTTCCACAGAGTGCTGCACTCAATCGGATGTGCCATCAGGGAGGCCCAGAGGAGCTCATTTCTTTTGGATGGATGGAACCAGGGGAACTTGCAAAGCAGGCCTTCTTCCAAATGTTGTTTGGTGGCCCCTCCACCAATCCATGTTGGTGCTCAATCAAACATTTAGAGGCAATCCAAGTTTTAGTCATTGCCTATTTTTTATTTCAAGACACAAGAGATTAAACATGAGACAAGTATTAATGTCAAAAGATCTCATAGAAAGTGAAAACCTGAGATCAAATTAACACTAGTAAAAAACAAGGACAGGTCAGCAGAACTTGGATAATTTAATACATTAAAATTGTGGTGGGGGTGGGGAAGGAGAAAGAGGAACGTATCTTTAGCACTTAATAATTCTAATATTAACATTTGTGCTTCACCACAAAGTTTTTACCGTGAAACAGATTCATTAAGCAGCAAGTAATTTCCATATAAAATTAAAGTTTAAGTGGAAACACATTCAGATAAGGTTTTCCTTTTGAGGAATAGTCCTCCTGGGGAGGAGGGGGAATCAGTATGTCAAGTAAAAATAGAAACACCCTCCCTTAACTATTTAAATTGCAGCCATAGTAACAGGATTAACACTACTTATAGAATAAATGTTTAGACCATTTTTTCTGTTTCAACCATTATTTCCCTTATGCCAAAGACAACAGCTAAGCTACAGACATGGGAAAAGGGTAAAAGGGGGGGGGGGGGGGTAGAACACCTCAAGCTCCAGATTTTTATCAAGAATTAGGGAAATCAGTTTCTGCTTAAGCAGTGAGAGTGCCCCCAGAGCTGAAAAGAAGTGGCAAGGAGGAGCCACCTCTGAGATATGAGACTGCTTTCTCTTTTCCAAGCACGCAACTGTCAAGTCTTGCTGATCTACTTCCAAGTCAAACATAATTCTTAGGCATCTGTAAGCAAACCTCATCTGAAAGCAAACCTAAAGTAGCAAAGCATCCTCAGAGTCTTATTCCCATCAGAACCAGTAACTAAAAGCCATAATGTTGCAACTGATTCTTTTATTTGCCAGTCAGCCAACTGTCCCAATTTATGGCTTTCTTCCTTTTTTACGCAAGGACTGTCCTTCTCCAGAGAAAGCAACGAATCTGCCTCCAGCTTCATCCTAGTTGTAAAGAAAAAATATTATTTTCAGTATTAAATCTTAAAGGTTTAAAATAAATGCTTACTTGCTGACTTGTGAACCACCCACCCATTTTCCTTACTTCCACATTACTTTTAAGAAGTATCTTTGTACTATAAATACAAATCATAAACCACTGAATTGAAAAACAAAACACAGAATCACAACTACACACCTACTACAGCCTTTATTCTCAGTTTGAATGTACATCTATATATAAATATATACACCCTTTTATAAAAGCCTATTTTCAGTGAAAAAAAAAAGCCATAAAATATACCTCCAAAAGAAAACTTTACTACCCCAAAATAACATTTCCAGCCACTTTTCTGTATATACTTATATAAACTATTTTTGTACTTAATCCCCAATTCTCAAGTCAATGAATTTCTTATCTAGAGTGCCCTCAAGGCTACAAAGATGTGGAACCTTCATCCACCCATGGACTTTACTTCCAATTTGCAGTATTATGAACTGCTGTAGTGAACAGCTTAACAGCTCTGACTGTTTACTTAGACATGGAATTCCTCGGTAAATGCATGCAATATTTTTTAGGGCTTTTGATACATGGTAGCTGTATCTCCCAGAAACATTCTGCCATGCTGTTCTCCCACTTGCTAGTGGGAAAGAACTTTTTTTTTCTTTGAACCCTTGAAAAGAGCATATATTTTTTTCATGTGCTTGAATGCTAGTAGACCGCAGGTGTTATCTCTGGAAGAGGGTTCCTCACTTTCCAACACACACACTCCTGCACCCTACCAACCCCATGCGGCTGGCGCATGGGGGCTAGAGGGGCCTGACAGACTCTGTGTGGCTGCCATCATGTGAATGTGAGCCAGTTAGCCATTCAGTTCCCCTTTCCTGCTGGGCCTTCAGTTTGTCCTACTATCACACTGCAAGAGTCCCATCAATTTTGTCTACCAAAGGTGAGTCCTCTTGGGCCTGAAGGTTGTGCTGCCTGACATGATCATACTCACAGCACAAGTATTTTAGACTCCTTGTTTCTTGGATTTAAGGCTATATTATTTCTACCTTATTTTAGTGGGATATACTCTCCAGTTGCTTCCTGAGAAAGGATGCATAAGAAATGTCTTTGTGAGATCTTACATGTCTGAAAATATACTTTTCAACTCAAACAATTCACTGATAGGTTGGTTGGTGTAAATTGCCAGGGCTGCAATTGGGGGGGGGGGCTTTTATGACAGATATTTCTTTCTTCCTTTTGTTGGGGCAGTTTTATGGTTCCATTAGTACAAAATACTCACACATGATCTGTATATTCATTTTCTTCACTGCACAGCCCAAATGGAATTGGTGACTCACTTTTCAACACACATGATCAACTGTGCTTGCTGCTATTGCCACAACAGCTTTGTGGTTCTGATAGAAGTTATGAGCAATCTTAGCACAGTGAGATTTGTTGCACATCAGCAGCATTTCGAGCTCCTCAACATTATGCACCAGGAACTTCCAAAAAGCCACTAGGTAGCATGTCCTTTGTTTACTTGTTATTCCCATAACCAATACTGGGTATCAAGAGTTGGTCCTTAAGTCTATACATCCTGTTATCATTGCCTCTAGGTTTCTGCTAGTTATGCTTGATTCTGAATTACTGGTTTGAATGGTGCTGGATGCACTTCTTGATCCTCTTTTTGATGACCTTGGGCTTGAAGAAAGGTTTGAGGGCAGCCATGATGCTGAGCAGGAGATGGCTGCCACCTCTGTGGGCAGCACTAGGGAACTGACAGGTATTTCTTTCCCTCCCAGTTGTGGAAGTTAGAATTCCAATGCTAAGGCCTCTCCTCGATTTGCAGATGTCTCCTTTCTTGCTCTGTCCTCACACGGTCTTTTCTTTATACATCAAAATATCCTCCCTTCATAAGGACACTAGTCGGAATGGATTAGTGCCTACCCTAGTAGCCTAATTTTACCTTCATCACCTCTATAAAGGCCTGAACTCCAAAAGCAGTCACATTCTGAGTTACTGAATTAGGGCATCAACATAAGAATTTAAGGGGAACAACATTCAGCACAAGGCTTTGGTACAGAATCTGTAGAAGTTTCCCCTTAGAATTTTGAATGTTCTACTATTGTTAGGTGGAAAGGATGTCCTGAATGAACTCTACAGATACAGGGTTTGTGGACTCCACCCCTACCCTAGACACCAGAACTACAAATTCCAACATCACCAAAGGGAGGACTGCTGGGACTGAGAGTAGAGTTAAGCAGCCACTGTTTGTATATAAAACCAAGTATGTGGGCTTTAGGGCTCTCATGGTCTCGTGGGGGTGGCTTGTCTTTTGGCTTATTGCCGGTTTTCAGTGTGCTTCTGGGGCTCCAAGTCAGCAAAATTATAGGATGCATTAACCAACTTATCTTTCTCTCTTTCTTTCCCTGAGTTATTAATTTCCCTTTCTCTTGTAAATTAATCCATTATTAATCTTTGTGTGTGTGCCTGCAGTTAAATCTTGTAAGACCCTTTTAAGGTCAGGTGAGGACCCATAGTCAGGAAACCCAATTGAACCCAATTTATCTCTTAAATTCCTATGTACTGCTAGGATGATTCCATTCTTTAACCATGATGAAAAGGCTTCCCTCCCCCTGGAAGCTTTAGCATCTTTTCTTCACCTCAAGGTAATGCTACTGTCCTTCATTGTGCCAGATGCTCAGCAGGCCTTCTCTCTGGAATCTAAGTGGCTTCCAGTTTGGGACAATTATTTCCCTTTGATTTCTCTAATCACTTTTCTAGATTCTAAATACTTTTCAGACTTGGATATTGGCCATGAAAATTTTCTGTGGTGCCCACTCTGGGGTGAGCTGGCTCACTGTGCAGAGAAAACTCCTCCAACTTCTAGCTGCAATGAACAAGCCTGGGAAACAAAGACGGGAAGGACACTATCTATGACAACATTTAGCATGTAAATTGTCACTCATTCCCTCTTAGTTCACACCTGTTATCCACCGTGTTAATGCAAACATGGAAGATTTAGGAACATTCCATGACGCCTATTCCTGAAGAAGAGCTTCTAGACATCTCCTGTGGTGGAGGCATGCACCTCTGCTTTGTGACAGACATTCCATCTTTAGTTCTGCATTTTGAGAGGTGTCTTCTCAGAACTCTGCCATTGAAACCAACTGCTTCGTGACTTTGCCTACAGAAGGCTGAGTGCAGTCTATGGTCTATGAGATCAGAGATTATCACTTGTCCTTTTGACCTGAGGTTACCAACGTTTTGTTGAATTTGCCTCCTCTCCTCTTTCACTGCCTTTATTATTTTGTATCAAAGTTTTTCTGGTGTTTAGTGTTATGCCTCTAATCCTATCTTCTGTCATACTCTTCTTAAATTCTCTTTATGGATAGCAGTTCCAGCTGTGCCTGTCAGATTTATCTCCTTTACATGTATTTCTAACACATTCAGTCCTGCTGAGTCCACTAGGCCTGCACAGGACTTCAACAAGCAGTCAGAAGGTAATGTCAGACTGAGGTCCACATTTGATTCTCTGAGCCTGGAAGTCCCCAACACTATGTGAACTCAAGGAACTTTAAGGCTAGAAGGGGCTGTGAGTAGAGCTCGGGTGTACAGACAGCATTGAAGTCTCCATCTCAGACCACCCTGAAGGTAGAGGCAGAGACTTTGATGGTTGGGAAGGACAATGACAGGATATGGCCAGTAACTGGTCACATCTAGCACGCTATCCTGAAAGGTTCCCTGTACATCTACTCTCAGCCCTCCTCCCAGCTCTCCTAGATCTGGAGCCTTGCTGAAAAGGAACCAGGAAAGCAATGGGTCTGAAGAACTAATGGTCTAGAAATACATAGCACACAGCTATGCCTGTGTTCCAGTCATGACTGTTGGGCATAGAGGGCAATGTGCACAAGGGCGCGCTGGATTTTATGAGCCAATTTCCAGCACCTGTAAGAAATGCCCACAAAGTGAAACCATATCTTTGTCAACCTTCCTCCTTGCATTTTCTCTTCAAGTCACAGGGGCATGACTTGAGTCAAGAGGTGAGCAGTTCCTCAAAGCTTACTGGAAGTTTCTGAAATGTAGTGACAAGGAAGTGGTTGTCCAGTGGACCCCCTATATTCTTTAGTATAAAGTACAGATACCATTGCTAGGTGATCCCAGATCTTTGGCCTGTACATACCTACATACCTGCACAAGCTCCACAGCGTAATCAAGGCCACTGGGAGAAAAAATCCCAACAATCGGGGAAAAAATATGACAGTAACACTTTACTCAAAATGGAAAGAATTCCCTTAGTCAACAGTAGGAAATAAAACTTCTCACTACCCATGAAATAAACTCACCTCTTCAACCTTTTTGACCAGTGGTCGTGAATTTCTGATGAAAGTGATCTTACCAAGTTTAAATTCATAATTGGGAATTCCTCTGTGAAGAGAAGGGAAATCTTAGTTCTAGGAAATAAAAGACTAAAATTCATTTTTAACCATCAAGAGAAAGGCAAGCAGAAGAGATGCTGCTTCTTAGTGACTCTCAGAGGTCCATGGCTGCCCCCCACCCTAGTCCTGGTACTGCTCTCTGGTGAACCCAGCATGTCTTTCAGAAGGAAGCAGAAAACAATTGGGGGAGAGGCCCGCAAACCGATGTCACCTGCACACCTCTCTGTCCTCTAGCCTCACAGATCACCTCAAAGGGTGACACTTGTACTAAACTAATCTTACTTCTTAGGAGCCTTTCTTCTACTCTAACACACATTTTAGACAGATGACATATTCATTTCTGCCACCACTGAGGGACACCAGAGCAGGAAATCAGCTCTGGGAGTCCCGGACTCAACAACAAAAACACAGCTAAGGAAGGCAGCTCCTGTTTCCTTTCCAGCTCCTTCCTGAGGGAAGCTGAAGCAAGTGACTTGATCAGTCATAAAGCATTACCAAACAGGAATCAGAAAGGTTTTAAGAAGGTAAAAGATCTGATCAGGTGCTGTAATAGAAGCCACCATGGTTGCTGAGACCCGCCTTGAAAGTCAAGCCCAGCAGAAGCCATGGAGAGATACTTGTTATACAGGTAGCCTGCAGCCCAGGTGTAGGGCTCCAACTGCCTGTTCCAGCTGCTTAGGTGAACGCCTGTCCAGCTGAAGCCTGGCAGTTGCAATGAGCATCTTGGCCTCCTGCACTACCACATCTGCACAGCTACAGGGCCTGCTGCTAACATAAAGCCATATGACCTCAACATAGCTTGGGTGGAACAGCCAGCGGAGTTTCACTTATGAATACTGTGCCAGAATTGTAGACAGACCAATCAGGTTAGAGCTCTCAATGGACCAATCAGATTTAAATTCTCATCAGGTCTCTCCCAGGTTTTGAGACCATTCAGGATAGTAAATGGACCAACCTGATTGGAGCTCTACCATCAGCAATCAAATAGAAATTGTAAATGGACTAATCAGGCTTGAAAAGTAGAGACTGGGCCCTCCCTGGTGGCACAATGGATTAAAATGCAGCACTTTGAAGTCAGCGCAGCACTGTGCAGCACTGTGAAGTCAGCCTCTTCAGCAGGAATTTGATCCCCAGTCAGGGAGCTGACCCACATAGTGTGGCAGAACTCTCCTGTCTCACTCACTGCTCCCCTCAGGAGTGTATTTCAGTACATATGCCTGTTCTGCTCCCCGCTCTGTCTCTGGTAAATTCTCTTATCCTTCAGTTCTGTATGCATAAAGAAAGATCTCTTTTTTTTTTTCAGGCTCAGTAGCACCTATCAGTGGATGCTTTTTTCTACTGTTGCTTTTTATTATTATTATAGTTGATTTTTACATCATGTTGTGCCTTTTTCCATCTCAATTGTAATCCTCATGTACTTCCCATCACCAATTCACCCGTGCGCTGTCACCATATGCCTATGCACTACCCCTCCCCCCATTTTTGATCCCATTCCCCACTCCACCCCCATAAAATGTCTCTGGTTTATAGTTGTTCATTATTACCCCACCCCTACCCCCACCGGTTCTTTATGCTCCTGCTATGAACGAAACCATCCAATAATTTTTTTTTCTTTCTGGCTTTAAATAAATACGTCTTTTAAAAAAAGAAAGAAAAGTGGAGACCCTGAAATGGATATAAACAAGAGCAGTCGCCAACTTGAGCCTATTCATCAGATGGCTCCAGATCAGATTCATGGGGATTCCTGGAAAAGACCTTTGCAGACAGCTTCCTTCGTAGAGACCAGACCAGTGCACCTTCCACTAGCCCTGCCTCTAACATGGCCAATGGAGAGCACTGCTGGCCAGTGTCTGGTATCTCTCAAAGACTTGTGTGCTACTGGCTTAAGCTCAGCATCTCTAAGAGCTTTGTCATTGGCATAATAGCATCTCTAAGAGCCATAATACTTACTACATCTGGTGCCATCACCTGCTGACTGGTGCTGTCTGGTGTTGACCAGCACTGCTGACTGTGTCCAGCCACCTCTAAGAGCTGTCTATCACTTCTGATCCTTCAGATCACCCACCTCTTGGTGCTGTTACAACCAGCAACGTCCGGTTCAGTGTCTGGTGCTGTCCAGCCTGGCCTTCAGACTGCCACTGTTGACTGCTGTGGTGTCACTTCAGCAGCCCCACCTGTGATCACCTCCAGCTCTCACCATGAGTTGGATCCTTGTCTACTGTGTACTGGTGTGCCACCACATCCAGTGCCAACTTGCACAGTCTTTGTTTTGGAACACTGGACTCTGCAGACATTATCTGGGGTAGGATGACTGGCTATTTGTGGCCTTATTCCCAACATCTCCTTTGTTTATAACATTTATTGTTATTGCACCCTGAGCCTGAGTAGTGACTTGTAATTGTGAGTACATGGGTGAGAACCCACAAACAATGACTTGTTACTTAGTCACAGAACTCTTTCAATGCTACTTGGAACAAGCGGAGACCAGACTGGAGATAGAGAAAGAAGCTGGAGGATAGCAGATCTGGGGAGAGGTTGGTGAAGGGAGATAGAAAGGCAACAACATTCTTCTTGGAAACAAACACTAATAGAGTAGGCTTTCCATTCCTCTTACCAGCCTGTTTGAAGCAACCTTGTCTCCCAAGTTGCTATGAGCTGCAGCACCCTGGCACACAGGGTTCTGACACACACCCTCCCTAAATTAGAGGAGAAAGAGTACCAGTTGGGAGCAGAGCAAAGGGCAGACCCACCTTTTAATGTCTCCAGGCTTGATTGGGGAGGGGCTGGGCTCCACACCTTTCTTCTTCCCATCTAATCTGTTCCCGGAGCCAGAGAAGGCCTAGATGAGCAAATAGGAGAATGTGCACAGGCTGACCACTGAGAGCAAGCATGCAGGTGCCTTCTGAACAGAGGTAACTTCATGGATATGTCCTGGGGGTGCCACCTAGCTCCCTTAGGAGTGAAACCCTCACTGCTCAGTAGCTTCAATATGAGCAGCCCAGCACTCTCTGCCCTGCCCCTTAGGGGACAGCTAGGAGTTCAATGGAGCCTCTGGCCAAGGACATCCAACAACAAATGATATTGGGGACTAGTCCCAGTCCCCTGCAGGTCCCTCAGCTCAGCCCTGGTGGGTGGGGTAAGGCATCCATTTTAATTCCTATTTCCTGTTTCTTCTGCTGCCTCCCAGGCCCCACACCAGCCATCTCCACCTGTTTCCCAGGGAGGGTAACAGTGTGTGAGAATCATGTTGCCACTGACTTCCAAACAGTGCAAGAAAAGAAAAAGGCAAGTTTTTAGAGTTTTATAAAGCAAAGGTAGCCATATTAAGTGAATCCATGTGAAGAATATGTGTATCTATTGTATTATTTCAACTTTTGGTAGAAGTTTTTCTTAAAAAGAGGGAAAGGTTGGTGCTGCCTTATAGAGTTGTTTTTAAGATCGAGGGAGAGTGGATATGAAAAGGTTTGGTACTTGAGAAAGAGTCATATACACATGTACATGGACACCCAGAGGTCTAATCCTAAGGTCCCCAGACTATTACAGGGAACGCCTGGGAGGAGATGGCATGGCAGAGGCACCTAAGTAAAAAATGTGTCTTGGTACTCACACGGAAGCCGAGCTCTCCTGCATAGCCACTTTGGTCAGCTTCACCCTCCTGAAAGGAGAGAAGAAAGCAAGATGAGCTTCCGAGCAAGGACAACCCCATCTGTACATTAATTCTCTGTACTCCCAACACATTGTTCCCAGACACAGAAACAAAGAAGGTGACCATGCAGATACCAGAAGAGGTCATGCATAGGCGTGCCGGCCAGACACAGCAAGGACACATTCCCAAAGCACAAAGAAGGCAACCCAGGCTGGGGCTGGGGAGGACCACTGGAGAATGACTTACGGTTGATTCCTCATGCTGGACCTGTCTTTCAGGTTCTTTGTAGCCCAGCGGAGCATCAAAGTCTACCTGTGTGCCCAAAATGGCAATTCTGAGACATAGCCTTAATTAGGCTGTGTTAGCTTTTCTGGTTTTAAATGAGACAACTGCAGGTTTATATACGCAATATAAGAAATTGTATATTTTGCTCATTTCCCCAATGGAACATTTGATTACATTACAGTATAGTACCACTATGATGGTAACTCATGATACCATCCAGCCCTTACAAAGACTTCCTCAATTTTAAAAGTACTTATTTGTATGTTAAGTTCTCATAGTTTTATTGCCAGTGTAGGTCAGTGTCTCCAATCTCCCAGCTGAAATATTTAACAGATTCAACTCAAGGATTCCCTAATCATTTTCATACCCACTTCTCTAGCAGTGTCTACCACCAGTTACCTCTGACAACCACTATGCTGTCTTCTAATTCTAAAGTTTTGTCATTTCAATGGAACTGAACAGTGTGTAGCCTTTTAGGATTGATTATTTCTGCTTAGTATCATTCTTCAGAAACACACCAGACTGCACTGTATACTAACAGTTCCTTCTTATGTAGAAGCAGAGACTTCTTAGCTTTTAAGAATATCCATTCCTTATCAGGTCTGAGATGCTGGTGGATTCAGCCACCTCAGAACTGGTAGCAACTCTGCCATTCCCACTGATTCTAGGACACATCACAGGGTCAGTAGCCTTGCTACAATATTCCTGCAGCATCTTCCTCTTCTGTCACCAGGGCCCACATGGCACCCTCCCAAGCACTGGTCTTGCAAGAAATACTAACTATCCATCTTTCCTAGTCCCAAGAACACCATAGAAGGTAAACCCACTCACATTCATGTCGCATTCAATGATGGACACGGCCTTGTCTGGCTTGGTCTCCATCACCCGAAGTTCATAGATCTATAAGAACAGATAAAAGAACCTGTTAACATCTCTGTTGTAGCAGTTGGAGCTGAAACCATCCATGTTATTGGGGCTCTTAACCCAGCTCCTGCAGACACAGCACTGACCTCCACAAACCCACCCCCACCATACCTCTTGCTACAACAAATGCAGCTGTGGGAAGTGGTGGCCTTGATGTCCATCACAGAGGCTGTTACCATAAACAGCTCAAACGAGGCAAGGCAGTTAAGCATCAACTTCCAAAAGATACAACCTTTAATTCAGAAAGTTCACTTCTGGAAATTTATTCTAAGCAAATAATTAGTTAAATGTCTAAACTACAGTAATCACATATACATTAATTTCTATTCTATTAAATATTGAGGAAAAATTAAAATTGAACCTTCCTACTTTACTTGGATAAATTCTAGGATTAGTTTTTGGGTAAATTCAAATTCACTTAAATTTGAGAATTTGAGTTAGCTATGCCACCTAATGTTGAGGTTTTATTAAACAGTGGACTATTCAGAATGTTTATTATTAAAGTAAGATATACTCTAGGTGAAAAGAAAGTAAAACAATACAGTAAAAGGTATATTCCACCACTTTTAGTTTCCGTCCTTCTGAACTTTGTTATATTCTCATTAAAGGTATGAGAACATCCTAGATACACAGAAACAAAATTGATTTTTAACTTATTTTTCTATCGGTTACACAGTATTCCACTGAGAACTAATTTATTTACATAGGAGTAGCTCAATACACTTAACCAATCTACTAATATGCCTTTTGGGTATAGACCATTTTTAGCAATGATGGATGAGCATTCTTACAATTTTCTTGTTGCACATTTAGTTAACTGTCACTGAGTTTGACTTTTATGGAATTTGACTTTCTCAGGAGCTCTAATATCTCTCTTGATTTTCATAATTTCCATGGCCTTGTTTCTCTCTACAGAATTCTAAGTTATTTCGCTAGCTTTCATTTCATTAATCTTTCAGCTACTAACTGACAACTTTTCAAATCTTTCTGGTTATTTTTGATAGTTCTTTGTTGCTCACTCAATTTTATAATTCCTTTTTTAAATTTCTTTGAACATATTCTACATAGCTGTATTTACTAAGGGTCTAAAACTACTTTTATTGTCTCTGCTTTGGCAGACTTGCATTTTTATTATGAGTTCCCTTTTTTTTTGTTCAGTATATAATAATTTCAAGGGCTTGACAAAATTGGCACTGCTTCTCCTAGAGATAATCTGCATTCCTTCTCCTGGGATGCAGATATCTACCTCTGGGTTTATTTTGGTCTCTGAAAGGGTCCCAGTTAATACAGAAGATTCTGACTTAGCTCTCCTGCTAAGCACTGATACAGCCATTTTCCCTACCATGATTCTTGATGACTTTCTGTATTTCTTTTTTTAATATGTATACATATTTTATATATAACTGTACATTTTTGTACAATGTTTGCTTTCTTCTCCCAGGTGTTGTTCCCATAAAATTCCCACCACCATTTCACCTATGAACCATCACCACAGTCCCTTGTGCTCATTGCTCTCCTGTTTTGTTTTCTCTCTTTCCCCTACCACACTTTATATATTTTTTGTGAACCCAACAATGCACTAGTAATCTAGATTTTATTCTGATTTAATTGGATTTTAACAGAATACCCCTTTAGAAAAGTATCTAGTCTTTCAAACTTCCACAAGCAGAAGTCCAAATTTATGTTTCAATTCTATAATCTATAATTCACTTTCCTTTTTAGTGCAAAAATTTCAGTATTATTTCAGATTATTTCAGAATTAGATTTAGGATCATTGCCCAAATATTAAGAACAATAACATTCAGGTCTATAATTAATTATGAAAGCTTCAAATATTCAGTTAAGGTAGATAATGGCTAAATTGTTCCCCACAGTGCTAAAGAAAATGATTTCTTAGTTTCTGAAAGAAAAGTTTTAATGCTACAAAATTGAAAAGTATTCTCAGTATTAGATAGCTCAAATATTGTAGGAAACTGCACTGATGCCAAGGGAAAAACTCGCTTTCTGACCTTGGAGGAAGTCTTGTCTGGACTAAGGCTCCTATAAAGCCCTAGTCCTGGAGAGGACAAGAGAATATATGGAAGAGTTGGGAGTTGGCCTCAGGGAAAATGAAGTTGGGGCTATGGTCACTCCTGAGCGTCAGGAGCTTCACCCTGGCAGCAGTTCCATAGTCAGTGGGTGAGGGGAACCCACACTGCTGAACTTCATGTCTGTGGTGGGATTAGCTGCTGGCAGGAGTGGCAACTATTGTATCTTCCCTGAGAAGCACTGCCTTGATAATGGGGAAGTAGATGCTGTCTTGAATTTCTGTGAGAATGTTATCTGTCAATTAAGCATAAAATAAAAAATACAGAAGATGAGATATGGCATTTTAATTTACAGGTAAATTGTATAGCTTTAGCTAGCTAGCTAAGAAACATGGAATCATAACTGATCATAGATCTGAAAGACTTGTGACAAGAAGAGTTAATTACAGGGGAGTTTGGGAGAAACAAAGCTACCAAAAATAGGAGGAAGAGAACACTGTCTGCAGGCAGAGCAGTGCTCTACCTTCTTGGGTATGAGACAGCACTCAAAGCACTGCAGAGCCAAATTTGAGAAAGCCTGTTGCTTCTCCTTCAGGACAGGAATTTCAAAGACATGGATCAAGGCTGGATCATTCTTGTCTTCAGAGCCAGCTAAAGGGCTTACTCACATTTTACATGTTGTATTTCTAAGAGAGGCACAGAGTGGCGAGCCTGACACCACAATATAGTGAAGTATATTACAGAATAATCACATCTAATCAATAAATTCTCAGAACAGAATTGTGGAGTGAACAGAATAAGGCTCAAAAATATGAACCTATAGGGGCCCTCCCTGGTGGCGCAACAGGTTAAAGCACAGCACTAAGAAGCTTAAGCTACTTCCGCATGAGTTCGATTCCTGCCTGCCTCTGAGGAGATCCACATGGCGTGACAGACCTCTCCTGACCCACCCGCTGCTCCCCTCAGCAGTGTACTTTGTCGATCTGCCTGTTCTGCTCCCCACTCTGTTCCTGGTGAATCCTCTCACCCTCCGCATCTCTGGCCTGTACCCCAGTTCTGTATGAATAAATAAATCAATCTTTAAAAAAAAAAATATGAACCTATAAAGACTATTAGAAAAGCAAAGAGCAGACAGCATTTAGATGATAAATAATCAGGGATACTCTGTTTAAAAAAATCCCCCATTGGGGCACTCTCCGGTGGCACAATGGGTTAAAGTGCAGCATTAAGAAAAAGCTATCTGCACTGCTTTAGCCTGAGTTTGATCCCCAGCCCAAAAGGTGACCCACATGGTGCAGCAGACCTCTCCTGTCTCACCTGCTGCTCCCCTCAGCAGCATGGGTATTCAATCTCACTGTGCTCTCCACTCTGTCTCTGGTGAATCCTCTCACTTCCCCTGCAGCTCTGATCTGTAACCCAGTTTTATATGATAAATAAATCTTTAAAAAAAAAAAAAGATTCTCCATTGAAACACCACAATAGACATAGCAGTGAATGGACTCTTCAAAGGTGTGACCTAAGTCAAGCTGCTGGTCCTGTGCATAATATTCTCACCTTCTCATTGTAGTTGATGGCAATAACATCCCCGGTGGTCAAACAGGCAAAGTTTCTCAAAGCGTTTTCTAATCTGTAGACACACACTGTCAAGGTAACAAGCTGAGATGGGTGCCTTAAACATGAAACAATTTCCATAAGGGGCTTAGATGGTCACAGTCAAAGACAGTGCGTCATGATGGTACTGAAACACGTGGCTTCAATACACCAATAAGGAGGGAGGGACTCCAACATGTAAGAACATAGTGAAAATAACAAATGCTCTGCTGAAGGAAAAATCATTCATAAGGGTTCTAAGGTTCCACTGAGAGAACCCAGAGAAAAACAGATTTGAGGGTGGAAAGTAGCTACAAGGTAGTGGAGTAAGGACTGACAGGAAAGGGCATTCGGTAACTTTTAGGAAGATGGGGAAGTCCTGGTGACATGGATGTACATCCTGTCAAATTCACGGAACCATTAATTTTATTGTATATAAATTACAATTCAACTAGTTGACTTTAAAATCCAATGAAAGCAGAGTAGACACAAATATTTGATGTGTAACAGCCAGGTCCCTCAAGAGTTCCTCAAAATTCACATATTTTAATGTAGCATTTTGCTGTTTCTGTTTTGAGTTGGTAACCCAACTCTAGGGGTTACAAATAATAAATAAATAAAAAGGCCAAAAAGTATTCCATAAGCCCTTTTTATAGCAGTAAATAATAATAAAAATTTAAGAACTGAATAAACTAAATGCCCAGGCAAGAGAATAATGCCAACTTACATGTGATATTTTAACCACATTGTCACCAATTTTTTAAAGACTGAATATAGAAATGGATTGGAAACCCATCATTATGTTAATGGCACATCTGAGTGAGGATCTCAATGTCTCACTGAGGGAGACAAGAGCTAAGGTGTTGAGATTCATTCCTCCTGGTCAAAAACTGTTACAAGATGGATAACAGCTCTGTGGGAGGGGCCTGATGTGGCACATAGTCCTCATCCCCCAGGAAACATCATACTGCTGGTGCCCTTCCCTCAGTGACTCCTAGTAATCCCTTTGACCCAGCCTACCAGGGTTCTGGAGGTAGATCACCTCCAAAAGAGAGCTCTGAAGAACAAGGTAACCAGAACTCACAGCAGGACTTTGTCCTCTACCACTGACTGCTGTGAGGAGAGAACCTAACACCCCCCTACCCACCAAGGCTAGGAGCTGGCTGTTAGGACTCAACATATTCATCCATGCACGAGGTCACTCTAAGTCCAGGAAGTGGCCAGCAGTTCCTTGCTCATAGGTTTGGGCTTGAGATAGGGCAGAGTTGGGGAAGATAGCAGCATCTTTTTAACAGTTGCCTACCTGTCTCTCATGTCCAACTGTGATTTTTTCAGGTTTACAGTTTCAAAAACAAAGAGGTGGTGGACTGCTCACTCAATAACATGAGCTCAAGTCAAATGGGATTTCAAGAGAGTAGACTCATATTCCATGAATGGTATACCCCTCACCCATAAAGATCACTCCTTAAACTATAAACACACACATCTAGTTTAAGTTCAGATACAAATCACTAGGACCTAAAACCTTTTGCTTTTTCCTCTGTCAGAGAAAGAGAGAGAAAATGTATTTAATCAGTATGTCCATTGCTTTGGAGTACAAAGTTGTAAACTGAGTATAATGTGAGGCTAAGCGGTGAGTGAATGGCTCCACTGGAGCACAAGGGATTTGAAGGTGACAGAGCAGCCAGAGCATCATTTCAGGCCCAGCTCCAGCTCCAGAAGTGGTGGTGCATGTGCTGGCTGAATGCCATTGTCCTCAAACTCCAACTTCAATCACAAACAAATAGATGGTCAAAAAAGTAAGCAAATATTCAACAAGGCACTTGTTTATCAACTGTTAGCACAGCCCTCCTTTCAAAAGGATACACTGCTTTGGGGTTGGTTATGTCCAGGAAATCAGGGCTCTGAGGCTGGAATTTAGAGTATGTGGCTACTTGAAGGTTGACACTCTCCACCTGAACCAGGCCTCCTTCTTCCAACAGCAAATTCTGCATCATCTGTAAGAAGAATGAGGAGTCATACGATTTCTAGAAATCAAATGGCCTCCAAGACTACCACTTACCTATATACCAGGTAGTCCAAAATCTGATATTGATAAGGCTTCTTCCTTGGGTCCTTGGAAGAGCAGCCTGAGATGAGGACTTGAGAAGAGATAGTCTACTTGTTATTTGATGTCAAGAAGGAGAAGAAAGCAAGTAAGAGAGACAAAGACAAGGAAGAAAGACCAAAAAGGGGTGCTACAGAGGCTGCTGCACAATGTGACATGTTCCTGGCAGGGAGGGAGAAGCAGCACTGGTCATCAGCCACAGGCCTCCTGTGGTGGCAGCATTTCCCCAAGTGCACCGCACACTATTAAGCTATCCCACATCTAACTTAAGAGTTAGTTTTATATAAGCATGGAGCCACACTTGAGGAAGGAACATGACAGCAGCAGAGGACTGACCTCCGATGGAACAGCCCCGCCTCTAAGGTTGCAGGTTAGTGACAAGGTCCCAGCAATGTCTGCTAGAGGGAGGTAAAAAATTTGACAAAGACACCCCCATGCCATTAGTAAGAAACCCTGTAAGGTAGATGCTGGATGCAGAATAAAAGGAAAAGAAATGAATAAAGGCCCATGAGTACTTGGTGCGCAGGGTGAAAGGCAAGAACTTGGAGATCTGAAGCAAGGTTGGGCCAGGTGAGATGACTGCCCTGGAGTGGCTTTTATCATTTTGTTCATAAAAGGTGCTTTTCTAGGTTGCAAGTCAGCCTCCCACAGGCCACACTCTCAGTTCTTAGAGAGTTCTTTTTTTTTTTCTTTTAAAGATTTATTTATTCACTCCTACAGAACTGGGGTACAGGCCAGAGATGCGGTGGGTGAGAGGATTCACCAGAGACAGAGTGGGGAGCAGAACAGGCAGATCGACAAAGTACACTGCTGAGGGGAGCAGCGGGTGGGTCAGAAGAGGTCTGCCACGCCATGTGGATCTCCTCCGGGGCAGGCGGGGATCGAACTCATGCAGAAGTGGCTTAAGTTTCTTAGTGCTGTGTTTTAACCCGCTGCACCACCAGGGAGGGCCAGTTCTTAGAGAGTTCTTTGAGAAATCTGCCAGTGTAGAGAAGAATGGAAAGCAGTGCTCCAGGTCTGTAAGAGAAGACCCCCGAGCCCCTGGACCAAATGCAAAGGAGCTCGCCTGGCTCTGCTGAACCCCAGAGCAATACTGCTGACTTCAGCGCAGGGCAGGTTTAATGCACCCACAGGGTTTTGATTTTGAAACTGATGTGGTTTTGAAAGCACACCAATCAGGTTTAAGCTTGTACCAGTGTCAATCAAGTTTTGGAAATGGTGCCAGTTTTGAAAATGGACTATTCAGGTTTGAGACCCAGGTGCCCTGAAAGAGAGAGAAGCTTGAGGCAGTGGAGGATTCAGACTCAGATCTTCACTTTGAGATACTCAGACCTCCGAGACTTGTTGAGACACTCTTTTGGGAAGAACTTCATCAGTTCTTTGAGACCGATGGCTCCTGCCTTCAACTCCAATCACAGACAGTTGCTGTCTGACAGCTGCCTGACACTGTCGCCTGACCACCTTACTTCTGCTCCTGCCTTCAGCGTGATGGGCACCGCTGGCCAGTGCCCGTCATCTCTAAGAACTGCCTGCCATTGGCTTCTGCCCCAAAATCACCTGCTGATAGGTGCCACTGGTCTGTGCTCCAGAGCCTCTGAAATAGCTGTACAGTGGCTTAGTCTGTGTGTGTCCACAGGTGCCTGCATGTTAGTGATCACCGTGGAGCAGGCACAGCACAGTGCTCAACAGCATTCAAGTGTTCCCAGAGGGCCCTAAGTAGGGATCTTTGTCTGGGCCTGCAGACAAGGCTGCAGGTGCAAAAGTCCTGTGTCTGTTCCAGGCTAACTCACCCTGAAGAATCCTGGGAGTTCTGGGTCAGATGGAGCCATGTTGACATTTCACAGTTTTGCCAGGGTCAAGAGACTCTCAAGCCAACTCTGAGGCAGCATCTAGGAAACCCTAGCCAACCACCTACTCTTGTGAACTGCTGGAAAGTCACTGTAGGAAGAAGATGCCAGCATCCCTCAGACTACAACTCAATGCTATCCAAAAAGGCTTCTCAGGAATATGATGTTTCTTAGTATAAAGATTTCAATTAGATTTCTAGTTTTAAATAGTCTGAAGTTTGGGCAAGGGTCACCCAAGCTCAAGTCTATGGGTTAGAGAGAACCCTTGAGGTACACTGTTTCCCAGTGTCCGCTTTTCCACTCCCTCTTGTGCAGTGGCCTTCTGGAGGTCTAGAGTGGTCTCAGGGGGAGGTCACTGCCCAAAACCAACCACCCACAACACTCTATGGTGGGACCAGGACAAGGCCCTGTGCCTATGATACACAGACAGTGAGGCAGTAAGAAATAAGCAGGGAAGCAGGCCAGGCCTGACTCTGAGGTGTGAATGAGAGTTCACCTCAGTAATAACTTTGGACAACAGCACAGGAGCGTTCAGATGGCAGGGGAGATGCAGCAAGGCTCCTATGGTGGAAAGGCCACCCAGGCTGAAGAAGGGACAGCCGTCTCCAAGGGGAAACAGGAAGGAAACCACTCACAGAAAAAATGTCTTCAAGCCTCATTTGTACTTAATCTCAAAAACATGAATTAAGGTCACTCCAAAAGGAATTCAGTAACCACTAAAATAAAGAGCGCACAAGAGACAAGGGGTCATTCCTCCTAAATATCCAGTGGCAGGGAGTCTGGGGTGCATTCCTTGCTCTGCCTTTGCGCAGCTAGGTTCTGGCAGACTCTAGACATAATTAAGCACAAAGAGGATGTGCACTTCCCTCCAGGGTTTTCCACAGCCAAGCACATCAGAGCTGGGAAGAGACAGAGGGAAATGGATGAGGGAGAAGGAGGAGCCAAGCAGGTCCTTTCCTGCTTAAGCTCTCTCCTAGACACTGCAATTTTGCCTAACACCTCATTAAAATAAGGGGCCCATGGGTTGATGAAATTAAAAACCCCTCACTTTCATAGAAGACAGCAATGAAGGGCACAGGAACCACAACTCACCAGCATGCTGGGGTTACAATATAGGCCACCTCATTGGGTGACCTGGGGGGCTGCTGCCAGCACTGCCCTGTTGACCTCTCCTGCCTGAGGCACATGTGGAACCCTGGCTGGTATGGATCTGCTTGCCTCTGAAACAGCACTAGCTCTGAGCTCTCACTCTGACGCTGGGGCCCAAGTCTGCAGTGGCACAGCATTTACACACTCAGTGAAATCTTAACTACAAAAGGCTTTTGCTCCAATGGCAATGAATTGAGTGCTTTGGGAAGATTCAGTTACAGACAAGTGTACAAATACATACTCCATGTCAGAATAGGGGAGGGGCAATAAAAACAGGAAAAGTACATAAAAATCTCAAAGCCTGTAGTTAACTCATTCCAAAAATACTCCTGGACCTTTATTTAAATAAAAAGTCTTACCTAGGAGGCTGTAGATAAACAGCGTGACTATGATTTGTAGGCTAACAGCTGAGTCACAGTGGGAGAAAAGGTACCCCCAAACTCTGCTGCCCCCACGTGTCCACAGTTAAGTGAGATATTTAAGGCCCAGTGCAGCTCCTATTCCCCTTCCCTAAGCTGTGTCTCTGGGGAGCAGGCCTTGCACACACGCTGGTGGTGCTTGGGGGGGGGAAGGGGGGAGTGTCATATAGGTTCCTGCTTATGAGGATCCTGTTTCTCTAATAGGCTAATGGGACACACTTTCGGGAGACATGGGTAGCCCCACTCACCCAATGTGGGAGGTAGCAGATGCCTTCGTCGGCCACAAACTCCAGCACACCGCAGTGGGTCATGCGGTCTGAGTTCTTGTTGGTCAGTTTGAACAGCATGGGGTAAGTAATGTTAAGGCGGCCTAAATATGAGAGAGAGGTTACAAGGTATGGTTTCTTTAAGGAAAACACTGGTCACCCTTTGCCTTCCCCTGCAAAATGGCGTCCTCAGGCACCTAAGGGGGCTCCACACAGCTCTGTCCCCCTGAGCATGCACATGAATCCCTGTGGGGCTTAGTCCCTCGGGGCTTGCCTGTCCAACACACCCCATACTTCCTGTCAGACTTGCGGAAGACAACACTTGGCCCCAAGAAACGGAATATTTGGTGACTCAGGAACATAGCACGACTTATACTTGAGATTTCTGAAATAATATTGATAATTTAGAAAATTCAAATGCCTACTCATTTATTCATCAACAATTTGCTGAACAAAATCCCTGCCTTCAAAAATTTCATTAGAAAAGCAAGACAGAAAACTAACAAGTACACACAGGGGCCTGGTGCTGTGGGCGGGCACTGAGGAACAGGCAGGACTCCTCTGGGCAGAGGGCTTCCTGGCGGAGGAAGCAACCTAAGGAAAGGCAGGGAAGAGGAGTCCAACGAGTTTTGGCATGGCTACCACTTAGGAGAGACAGGCACAGGAGGCATGGGGAAGGGGGGGTCAGAAAGGACATCACATGGAGTGGGACATGTCAGCTGTGTGTTCCTCTATCCCAGCGCTCCCTGTGATGACAAAGGGAGCCCTATGTAAGGGCTGTGAACTCCATGGCTCCATGGGTGGAGCTAAGGCTTCCACGGGGTGTGGACACTATTGCTGGGGGCACTGACATGAGGCCACATGAAAGGCCAGGTGCAGACACCTAGCACTGAGGGTTTGCTGACCCAGAAGTGCAGGGTGATAGAAAAAGAGGATGGTGATGTGCAGCAAAACCTGACTCATGGTTCCAGAAGAAGAGGGCTCTGAAATGGACTGACATAGTAACAGTTTTTGCCAGGGGGTAGGCCCTCACTCCATCTTCCTGACTGTGAGTACTACTGTCATTGCTTTTATCTACAGAGAACCAAGGCATGCAGACCTGGCTACACACCCAGCTTACACAGCTCAGAAGTGGAGATGCTGGTCCAAGTCTGGGCTTAACCACTGAGGTCTACTCTGGCCTAATGGTTTAGAGAATCATGGCAACAGGAGTGGCACTCAGCTATGAGACAGAAAGCAGACACCCTCAGGACCTCCCTAAAGGTTCTGGTAAAGCATATCAAGTAATAGGCCTGAGCAGTAAGGCACCAATGGGGACAAGAATCTCTGGAAGTGGCACCTCACTTCAAAGGCAGTAGTAACTATGGGTGTTCCCTCATCACCAAGGGTTACTTAAATTGATGGCAGTCCAGCAGTCAAGAGGATGGCGACCAGGCCTTCTTTCCCCAGACAAGGGTTTGAAATTCTTACTATTAAAAGAGATCCCTGTGTTCCTTAGTCTAGTGGTTTTCAAATTGTATTTGATTTAGAGGTGCCCTTGGCCTCCTGAGTTCTTGTACCCCCTCAACTCCTCCAACCTGAGCAGTACCTAATTTTTATAAATTAGGATCCCCTCTAAGATTTCATCTGGACGACGAGTTTCTTTCACAACTGTTCGGGTCTAAATCCACTGCCCTAATCTTGAGTGTCCCAGGACACACCTGGTGCTCTCGGCTTCTAGGTCATCTTACCCTAAAGGCAATCTCTCTGGATGTCTCACCCTCCTTCCCTCCTGTGATGACACAGGCCTATGCGAGGCTGTGAACCCCATGGCGCTAGTCATCCATGGGTGGAGGTGAGACTTCTATGGTGTGTGACCACTGTTGCTGGGAGCACTGATTTAAGCCCTGTTGGCTAAAGGCCACCTCCTGCCTCTAAGCAGTGTCACAAGGGCTTGGATTGTTTACACACATAGAAAAAGGCACTGTTACAGAAGAATGGACAGGAGCTGTGCCCCGATTTTTTTTTTTTTTTTCCTGCTCCCATCCCTTGTGTCCCCTTGTCCCTTTCCCTCTTTATCCCTCTTAATTTCAGAGCCTCGGGATGTGAAGTGATTTGAAAGTGTTTGATGTTAAATTGTGAATATCTTGTATTTGTTTTTATTGTCTGACTTGCATTGCTTGTGTGTCCCCCTTTTCAAGGTGAGGACACAGAGGCTCACAGAGGCCAAGTCATCAGCCCAGGGGCAGGCCAAGCAAGGAGCAAAGCCCAGGCTAGCGTGATATAGCACCAGAGGCGCCCTGCTCCCTTACACTGCCTGTGTGCACCAGACACCAAGGATGAACCTATGAACTGGACCCATGGTCCTACCTTGGACATGAGGAATTAACACCAGAAACACCTCCAAGTCTCAAAAGGCAATGAATGCACCCCTGACTGGGGTTTCCCGGGTGAAGGTAGAGTGGGGCTGGAACCTAAAGTCCCTAAATTGTCTCCTGGGTTAAGCTGGGGAAAGAGAGGTTAGTGTGGCTGCTCTTATAACCTTTCCCGCTCCTTGTCAGAGTTAGGATTTGGTTGAGTAACAGCTTTTAGGGCATAAGACAACAGTTCAGATTCTGATGCTCTGCAGATGCCAAAGGAGCAGAGGGGGTTAGAAACTTGGATCTAGAACTAAGGCAAAATGTCTGGGGAGGAATGCAAGCCTACCACTCAGCATCCTCTTGGGAGCTGACTACTATTGTTTGGGAGGAAAATGTAGTGACCAGAAAATGGCATCATGCTCGCGCCTTCCCGACAGAACCCAGGGCAAAGGGGTGGGGTAGGTTAGGGGAGTGAAAACCACCTCACAAAAGAGGTACCTGAAACTCACTGGTCCCTACCAGGAAGGCTGTCTACCACTGGCCACTACTTTGTATGGCCTCAGCCCAGCCCAGCATGGACCCCCCAGGGATCATTTCTATTCAGATGTGATAAAGAACACCTATGTTTGGACATACCAAGAAGCCTGTGGCTGGGATCCATATTTACTTTACCTCAGTTCTCAGGTCACATAAAATATACTTACTGAGTTGATCGAGGGCTGAGGGCGGCATAATAACTGTGGAAAGAATTATGAAGGAACATTTAGAAAATAAAAACAAAAAAGACTCAATGAAAGCCAAAATGCAGTTTGTTATGTCTTTAAAAATTATTAGATAACACTTTTAAGATATTAAAATTATTAGATAATACTTTTAAGGTAGTGAGAATTTAAGTCATCTTTCATAGAATGTCTTATTTTCTGTAAATTATTTCAGGGGAACCAAATGGCTAGCAGCCATAAATCTAATCATCACTAATTATAATAATAACTACCCTTAAATCTAAACACAACCACTACCACCACCCCCTTTAGTAAATATGGGGCAAGTAATATTTTCACTAGAATGCTAACTTATGATTACACATGCAATAAGGACAGTTGAAAGTTATTAACACTGCAAGGCTAAGGGCAAGAAATGTTACTATTCAAAATAAAAACAAGCACATACTCTTCCCGCCTTTCTCCACATCTGACCTGTCATTAGGCCCTGCTAACATGGACACGGAGAAGCAGCGATACTGTGTGGAGAAGCGGTTCTGGAAGACCCGGGGTATGGGGTGGTCAAACATGTTGAAAGAGAACTAGGAGGGAAGAGAAACCAGAGTTAGAACAGTACAAAGGTACACTTTCCCATGTCAAAAGTCCAAGGAGGCCAGGGCAATTAATGCTGCTGAAGGTGGTCATAATACAAAATGCACCAAAATCCTGATGCCCCAGAGTCCTGTGACTGAAGCACTTCTTAGGAGCACAAATGTTAAATCTGCTTCCATTCTTCTCTCCATGTCCAGTGTATCCCACTGTTTTGGAGTAGTGTGATCTTACAAAAATACAAAATTATTCATGTCAAGCCTGTCCTTAATTTCTCACGCTGGTGGACCTCAGGGGTGCCCCCACAACTTTAAGCCTGCCACATGTCGGCTGGCTGATTCCTCTGTCTGGAACACTTTTTCTCTTTCTCTATTTCTTGAGAGCCCAGTACCTGACCTAGAGAAAAATCACACTCGTGTTTGTATCAAAACAGGTGCAGTCTCTTTCTTAGTAGAGGTGACATCAAAGTAAAGGAAACTAGCAAAGTAAGCAGCTAACATGTCTAAGGATAATAAATCCTTTGGGGATAAGAAGAGAATAAAAGAAAGAGAGCTTCAGGATATGCTATTTTAAGTGGGCAGTCAGGAAGGATTCTCCGTAGTGGCCTGAAGCCAGGAAAGGCAGCCAGGCAGAAAACAGGCAGCAAGGAGAGCAGGTGATCAGTGTTTGCATCCCTATCCTAGTTTCCATGAGCACCTTTTCTTTCTCTGCACAGGGCACATGTTCCATGTGCTCTCATGTGCTAAGTTGTGATACTCCCCCATGTTATTAAATAAAGCCGAAACATGCTGCCATCAAAAAGCTCGGATCCCAGCTCTTAAACTTTGGCTTCTGATCACAGATATGTTACACAGATACCAAGGTTCTTCTCAAAGTACTGCAGTTAACTACAACATTTAAAAAAAAGTAATGTAAGACCTCATAATAGGATATACATCCAAGAGAACTGAAAAGGTCTTGATATATTTGCACACCCGTGTTCATAGTAGCACTATTCACAATAGCCAAGAGGTGGAAACACGTTAAAAAATCCATCAATAAATGAATGAACAAACAAAATGTAGTATGTACACAACTGACAACAGTCAGCAGTAAGAAGGAAACTGACAATAGTCAGCTGTAAGAAGGAAAGATTCTGACACATGCTATGACATGGATGAACTTTGAGGACATTATACTCAGTGAAATAAGCCAATCATGAAAAACAAATAGTATATTATTCCACTAATAAGTATCTAAGGTAGTCAAATTCAGAGACAGAAAGCAGAATGGTGATAACAGGAGATAGGGGAGGTGGGAAAGGGAAAGGGGAATGGGAGTTGTTTGATAGGGACAGTATTTCAGTCTTATAAGAAACAGTTCTGGAAAGCCATTATACAATACAGACATGTCTAGTATTATTCAAATGTACACTTAAAATGGGTAAGGTGGTAAAATAATGTATTTTTTACAAGTTTTACTTGACTGGATTCAAATATACATTAAGTGGAGGGAAAGTCATCTACCCATAAAATATCAGCTATTCCAAAATAACTCAGTTAGCTGTCTACCTAAGGTGTAAATGTAACACACTCCTGCTTAAATCTCAGGGTTCTTCATTCCCTGGAGTGTTAGCTCCCTTAGCCCTAACTTCAACCCCATCTAATCCATTTCTTTTTTTCCGACTATGAAAGGGAAGAGGTACACACAGTATTTAATACCCTTAACGATTTGTGTTGTATTCAATGTGTTGAGTGGGTGTACTTTGTAGAAGTTAGAGGAGGACTGTGAAATAGCCACCTCTTGGCTATCATGAGTAGTGCTGCTATGAACACGGGTGTGTTTCGACATTGAAAACACTCTGCATAAAATCTACTAATCACCCCTAGTTTTTAGTAAAATTAAACAGCTGGCATGTAGACAGCGCTGTACAACGCTAAGGGGGTGAGTTTTGCAACCGAACAGAGTTGGCTTCAAATTTCCATTCCCTATTTTTGGGACTTCGACGTTACCTTTTCAAATTTTAATTTTATCATAGGCAAAAGTATAATACTCATCGTTGCCTCCAAAGGCATTAAGAATTAAATGGGTTAAAACAGAATGGGGCGACTGCAGGTGTTAAAAGAAAAGCTGTGTGACAGAAAGTGTGCCAGCAAGTATTAACTACTACTGATATCTCCATTGAATCTCTTAAACAATCGGAGGCAGAGACCCGGCGAAGCGGGGGCAAAATCCCGCCCACCGGGATGCCTCCAGTTACAAGTCTGGCACTTTCCAGACCCGTGGGAGAACACAAACGTGTATGATTCGTTTCTACCCTCAAGGAGCTCAAGTACAAACTAGGAGGTAATGCGAACCACCGCGGGGTCAGCCGAGAGGAGCCAGGCCGTTGTGGTTGCGGGTCCGGCTCTCTCGGATGCGTCCCGGACCCTCAGAAGCGCTGGCTCGGGCCAGGGTGACTCGGCATCTCTGTTGCTGTCAAGTCCGTCACGTACGGCCCAAGTCCCCGTCCCTGACCCCAGTCCCGGCTCCTGGCCGTCGGTACTCACCATGATGGATCACTTCCGCAGATGCCGGTGCACCCGGGGAATGCTACAGTGGGAGTCAGTCCAACAGCTCCCCTCAACCGCCTCAGCCGCTCCGGCTCCGACGCCGGGAGACTCACCGGAAGTGCCGGACCCGAGCTTTGGGGGGAGGTGCAGAGGACCGGCGTCAGCTGCAAAAGAAAAAGCCAGGCAAAGGGCCAATATTAGTATTTCCCAGTACTATATACTAAAACGCCTTTTCATTTCTGGCCCCTGCAGAATAATATTGTAATTATCTTGTTACACCTCGATAGCCCGCCCCTCCAGACGAATTTAGTAGGTCCCGTTCCTAACTACACTACCCAGAATGCATGTGAACCTCCGGCCTTTGCTCAGCCATTGTGGGTTCGGGCGGAAGTAAGGTATACATCCGCCTTCGAAATAGATAGAAAGCCTACTGAAGTCGTAAACTGACACCCTTTTTCGATGCGTAAATCTTATTTATGACGAGAAAAGGTCTTTTTCTTGGCGTTCCCAGTGGGAAACAAAAGGATTAACTTCCAAAAGTAAAGACGTCCCCTAGACAATGGGTTTCTGGGTAAATGGGCGTGGAAGCAAGCAACCATGTTGTGTCTTACCCGCTGATGACGTGTCACTGGGGGCAGACCTACATTTTCCAGCCCTTGAATGGCGAGCACTAGAACAAATAGGACCCAATCAGAAAAAGGAAAGGCAGGGAATTAAGTAGCTATTGGTTGGTGACCTCGGGCCAATCAGAAAGTGCCTAGTTTGGCGGGAGTCTTGACCGCAGCCAGGGCTCACGGTGTCTCCGAGCTCTCTGTGTTGTTGTGGCCATGTTCGTGGCCGATTTCCGCAAAGAGTTCTACGAGGTGGTCCAGAGCCAGGTAACGCCCCTGTCTGGGACCCTGAGGGTTTATCGGAGGGAAGCGATGAGCGGAAGCGGCTGTAGGAGGGTGGAAGGTGCCGGGGTTCGGATCTTTGTACTCACTTTGCTCTCGCTTCACCGCATAGAGGGTCCTTATCTTCGTGGCCTCGGATGTGGACGCCCTGTGTGCTTGTAAGATCCTTCAGGTTAGTCCTGTGAGCCTGGAAGGGCGGGGCCGGCGCCAGAGGTGAGGGTAAAAGCGGGTCCTGTGGGTGGTAGGAGTACGTGGTGGACAGGGAGTTAGGACGGGAAGTGGGTTTGGAATTAAGAGGGAACACAAAGATAGGGAGTTTGGCGGGAGCTGAGAAGCTGTGCTGAGACCATCTCCCGCCCCCACCTTCATGAGACCCTAGTCTAGAGTAGGGGCTGCTGCTACAATTGAAAGCTGGCGAGGAGACTGTGAAAGTTCAGAACAGTAATGGGTTTGATTAGAGAAGGAAGACTAATTAAAATCAGCTCTACACAAAAATGTTTACAAAAATCGTGGTGCTTCTCTCAAATGGGGGTATGGGAGGCAGGAAATAGTAATTACCGAAGGCATAGTGCTGTCATAAAGCAATACTGAAAACACAGGATTCCTTACTTTGTAAGGGAAGACTGTTGGTTTGGTTTTGAATATGGGTAGTGTTTACATGAGCTTTGGTCCCTTAGTTAAAGGTAATTTAAAAATTTTATCAAGTTGAAGAATGATACAGCGAACACTCATATCCCCATCACCTAGTTTCTCCTATTAAAATTTTAATCTTTCTTTTTCACATGGTATTTGTTTCTCAGCCTGTTTTTTTTTTTAATTGCATTTCAAGGTAAGTTGTAGATATCCTAAATATGAAAGACTTAGAAAGTGATCTCTTTCCAGGCCCTATTCCAGTGTGACCACGTGCAGTATACACTGGTTCCAGTTTCTGGGTGGCAAGAACTTGAAACTGCATTTCTTGAGCATAAAGAACAGGTATGGAAGATGCGTTTTAGAATACTTAGACGTTTTAGCTGAATTACAATTTCATAACACTTAGCATTCTTTCAATCCCACAATAAATTGCATGTTTATCGCAGTATTAATTATATTAGCCAACATGGAAGTGAAAAGCAAGTTACTTACATTGGTGACTTTCCCTCAAGTTGTAGAGTCAAAATTGACAACAAAAATAAGATAGTGAATATGGAAAGCCCTAACTCTGAACTTGTGTTAAGAATGCTGCATTGTTAGGTGCTTGGAAAATTAGCATTTGGTTTTGATATTTAGGTATCCATTAATTATGAACTGCTCGAGATTTGCTAAATATTTAAACCTGTACAGTGTTACTATTATGGAGAGGCAGTGCCTCAGAATAGTATCCTGGTTATGTGTTTGAAGTCTTCATGCCCCCTAACAGCTTCTTGACCCTATATGTAAGACTCTGGCATGCTGAGCAGGGGTAGCCACAGGACCTGCCTCATGGTATTGTCATGAAAATGAAATATCACATGGACGATGATAAAGCACTTAGCACAGGCTAGTTGTGGCCATATTGAGAGCCTCTCATCATCCTTTTACTGGAAATACTGGGTACTCCTTCCTATCACTACAGGTGCCAATGAGCAGAGACTGGAAATGAATCTCTAGAAGTACATTTATTTAGGTAACTGGCCAGCAGTCTGAGAATGGTGAACATAGCATTCTGAAAAAAAAAAAAAAAAGAACAAAAACAAAAAAACATTCTAACATCTCTCTAGCTGGCTATTTTTAGTGAATCAGAATAGTCGGTCATAGTTGATATTCCTGAAATTTATCATGTTTATCCCTCAGTTTGTTATCAACCTCCCAGTGTTCTTGACCCTCATACTTACTGGCCTACTGAGCATGGCTTATCTATGATGCATCAGTGTCCAGCACTCATTTAGGCATCATTGGGGCAGGAATCTCAATTCAATGCAAGAGTTCTAATGTAAAGAAAACAGATCACTAGTCATATAGTGTATATGTAACTTAGGCTCTGTGTGTATGTGCAGATTCCTATACTAGTTGTGGTGCGCTCTCTTATCTAGCCCCCTATCAATCAAGACCTGACCAAATGTCAGGGTCTTGATGCGTCTCAGCAGAAGAATGCAGAGACTAGTGTGGTGAAGGTAATAGGACTTTGTCAGTATACCTGTTTTACAGTGTCTCTCTTTTTTCAGTTCCATTATTTTATACTCCTAAACTGTGGAGCAAATGTAGACCTATTGGATATCCTTCAGCCTGATGAAGATGCCATATTTTTTGTTTGTGATACCCACAGACCAGTTAATGTCGTGAATGTATACAATGCTACCCAGGTAACTAGACTTTTGGGTCTGAACCTTCTCCAAGTTTTCCCATCAATCTGTCTGTGCCATTATATGCCATGGGCAGCATTGTACCTGATAACTACCTCACCTACAGCTTGAGGACAAGGAACTGGCCTTGTCCATCTTTAATGTGAAATGTGGCACTTAAACTGGAGGTGCTCAGGATGCATTTCTGGAAATCACTTCACCTAGGATGTGTAGGGACAAAATCTTGCACTGCGTCTGCCCCATGGAATTCGGGTTCAGCTCAACTTCATTGACTCAAAAGACCTCAGTGTGGGGTTGTCCCATTCAAGGTTGATATGGGGACTAGCATGAAGCACTGTTAGCCAAAACAATCTGCTGTGCTTACTCTCTGAACCCTTGAGCTTGGAGACTGGCACAGAGTAGTCACCTAACCACCCTTTGAGCTCACTTTCCACCCATATTAATAAAGTACTGAGCCTGAAATTATCATGTGAGATAACTGTGGGAGACGTTAGTTCAGAACTGCTTTTATAGATAGTAGTTTGACTCACAGGAAGTTGCACATCTTCACATCCTCTATGAGAGTCCCAGTTGTGGGATGTACATTTTAATTTGTTTGGTATGAAGCATACAAGAGGATTTCTCCAGATTTAGGTAGCCGTAAATAACTTTCAAATTTTTATAATTTCTGCGTTCCTCATAGTGTAACTCTAGCACCTCTCTGAATGAAATGGAAACAAGAAAATGCCTGAGGTGTCTGGAATTCTATTCAAACAAGAGGCTATTTGAATGTGCAGAAAACTTATGAGTCAGCTAATTAGGAGCTAAGATTCTGCAAGAGGAAAATGTTATGGATAATTTTCTGTCAAGAAGAGAGGAAAGACTTGATTACTCCTTGTTTTAATCTTAGATCAAACTACTCATTAAGCAAGATGATGACCTTGAAGTTCCTGCGTACGATGACATTTTTAGAGATGAAGAGGATGATGAGGATCATCTGGGAGATGAAAGTGAAGATGGATCAGAGCCTTCTGAGAAGCGCACACGGTTAGAAGAGGTGAGGTTGGACCTTTTGCCATTCTCTTGAGGAAGTTGTCACAGAAGCCAGAGGTCAGCAGAACCTGCTGAATCCAGGCAGAACTGGGATACAGTGGTGTGGACCTTCATTCAGAACTCATGCAGATTATTCTCTCTGAACCACAACTACTTGTCTGTATAGTGGGATCCCATCAGGTGAAATGAGACTTAAGACCAAGACCACTAAACCTAGATAGCAAACTTATTTGTTTCTTTGTTCATTCATTTACAAACATTTCTAACAAGTGATAGGAAGAAGCAATGAATAGCAAGCATAAGTGTCTTTTCTCTTCCCTATTCCTATCTAGAATCACTCTTGGTACAGTCAGGTTGGAGGAGCAGTATGGGTCTGCAGCTCTTGGCCATGCTTGGCTCTAGATGGTCACTGTAGGGGATTCATCTTGTATGCAAAGACATGAGCAGTCTTAAGTCTGAACCACTTACTGAATATGGTGTCTGTCAGTGGAAGGGCCCTGTCTCAGGCTGGTGATTGCTCCCCAAAGTAGGATGACTGAGTTTTATGTAGTGTTCAGTGTTGCTGAGGAAAGTGGTGCCATCTATTTCTTACCCATGGTGTGCAACCCAAGACTTGCCTCTGGAATCTTTTGGGTCTTCATTCATGCCTGACATTTCACAATAACATGCTTTAGAAGAGCCCTTTTAAACCTAGTTTTCAAAACTAAGAAAATTTTCCCTTTTTTTTTTTGTTATTTTGTTCTTTATTGTTCACATATGAGTGATGTCATCTGATTTTTTTAAGTTGTTGTATTTAAACTCTTACAGTTATTTTGATTACTGGTACTTTTAGGGTTTAGTCTGAGATTTTTTTCTCTTTTCTCTATTTTTCATTTCTGCTTTCCTTTCTTTTTTTTTTTTTTAAGATTTATTTATCCATGCTTACAAAGGTGTGGTGGGTGAGAGGATTCACCAGAGACAAGAGTGACAAAGTACACTGCTGAGGGAGTAGCAGGCGGGTCAGGAGAGGTCAGCCATGCCCTACCTCCCTGGCGGGGGAATCGAACTCATGCTGCAGTGGCTTCGGAGAGCTTCATAATGCCGTGCTTGAACACATTGCGCCACCAGGGAGAGCCCTCTGCTTTCCTTTTCAAGAATTGTTTCTAAGTGTATCTTCTTGTGTAATTAAAAAAAAAAAGATTTAGTGGTTGTTCCAGGTATCCTATATTATTATTATTATTTTTTTTTAATTTTAATTTTTATTTTTATTTATGCATACAGAACTGCGCCAGAGGTGCAGGGGCGGTGAGAGGATTCACCAGAGACAGAGTGTGGAGCAGAACAACCAGATTGACAAAGTATACTGCTGAGGGGAGCAGTGAGTGAGATAGGAGAGGTCTTCTGTGCTGTGTGGATCACCTGTGGGATGGGGATCGAACTCATGCTGGAGTAGCGGCGGCTACCTTCACAGAGCTGTGCTTTAACCCACCAGGGAGGGCCTTGTATTATATATTCACAGCATATCACAACTCATTAGTATTATCATTTTACCGGTTTGAGTCACATGTAGAAATCTTACCTCCCTTTATGCTGCTTACTCTCCTTTGTGTATAACATAATTTTCTTAAATATTTCTCCTCCTATATGTAAAACCACATCATACAAAGTATTTTTGTTTCAATAGTTAAACATAATTGTAAAACTCAAAAGGGTAGGGAAAGCCAATTTCTGCTTATCATGTTCTTTCTTCTTGATTTCTAAAGTTTCTTTTGTCATTTCCTTTCTCATTACAGAACCTCCTTTAACCGTTTTTTTTTTTTTTAAACAAAAAAAATTTACTTGTGCATACAGAACTGGGGTACAGGTACAGGGTCAGTGAGAAGATTCACCAGAGACAGAGTGGGGAGCAGAACAGGCCGATCAATGAAGTATACTGCTGAGGAGAGCAGTGGGCGTGTCAGGGGAGGTCTGCCATGGCATGTGGATCACCTCTGGTGCCGGCCGGGATGCTAAAGTGACTTTAGCTTCTTAGTGCTGTGCTTTAACCTACTGTGCCACCAGGGATGGCCTCCTTTAAACATGTTTTAGGGGAAATTTTTCATGATAAATTCTTAGTTTTCCTTCTGAGAATTTCTTGCCTTTCCCCCCTTTCATTCCTGAAATATATCTTTAAGTGGACGTAGAATTCAAGGTTATTATTTTTTTCTCAGCCTTTAAAAAATGTGCTACTTCCTCTGGCCTTTTTAATTTCTGAGTGAGAAATTATTATTTTAATTGTTTTTCCCCTGTAGGTAATGTATCTTTTTTCTTTAGGTGTTTTGGAGACTGTTCATTTTTGGCTTTTATGTTTAGAGGCTTAGTTAATTATGATGTGTCTTGGTGTGGGTTTATTTTAAAATTTTTTAAAAGATTTGTTTAATAACTGAGATGGGAAAAATGCAGAAAATGATGTAAAAATAAACTATTATGTTATTTTTTTAAAAGATTTACTTATGCATACAAGATCTATTTATTCATGCAAATCAGAGCAGTGGTACAGGCCAAAGGTGTGGGGGTTGAGAGGATTTACAGAGAAAGAGTGGGGAACAGAACAGGCCAATTGACTGAAATACACTGTTGAGGGGAGCAGCGAGCAAGACAAGAGAAGTTTACCACACCATGTGGGTCACCTCCCAGTAGGGAATCGAACTCATGCAGCAGTTCAGTTATTCTTCAAGTATGTTTTTCGCTTACCTTCTTTCTCCTCTCCTTCCAGGACACTGATGCCTTGAATTGTTAGATCTTTCATTGCAGTTCCATAGATCCCTGAAGCTGTCCCCCCTCCACATACCCCCAGACCCCTACCCCGTTCTCTCTGTTGTTCAGGTTAGGTGATTTTTCTCTCTCTCTCTTTAGGTAAAATTATCTTTACTAAATAGTTAAGATATCTAAGGATTTTATCTTATATTTTAGTATTATTTCTATTGAGCTAACAATGGATGATAACACTGCTTATGATGTGGGGGTACAGATTCATCATCTTCATATGTGTTACTATACCGCTCCCACCACTGAAACACCCATAAACCTCCACATTAGTCTATTTGGTCTCTGCCCTTTTTCCCCCCTCTGGTATTTCTGGTTCTACACTGAATTTTCTAGGGTTTATTTGGTTTAGTTTTTCACCTTTTTTGTTTTGTTTCTCTATATCCCTTACATGAGTGAAATGATCTGTTGTTTATCTTTCTCCTATTGATTTATTTTGTTTAACATAATCTCCTCCAGCTCCAGCCAAGTGTTCATCCTTTTTATAGGTCAGTAGTAGTCATTGTGTATATATCACATCTTCTAAATCCACTCATCTGTCATTGGGCACTTAGGTTGTTTCCATAACTTGGCTATTGTAAATAGTGCTGCAGTGAACATAGGAGTGAATGTACCCCTTTGAGTTAGTGTTTTTGCTTTCTTCGAGTAGGTGCCTATGAATAAGATTTCTGGATTATAAGGTAGTCCTAGTTTAAAAATTTTGTGAAACCTCCACACTATCTCCCAAAGGAACTAGAGCATCACCAAAAGATTCCTTTTTCTCCACTCTGCCAGTTATTTCTGGTCTTTTTGATGTGGCCCATTTTCACACGAGTGAGGGTGGTTTTGATTTGCATTTGCCTGATAAGCAATGATGAGCATTTTCCATATCAGGTTGGCTAGTTGCTGCCATTGTATCTGCTGGTTCTTTCTCCATGCTGCTCTTTTTTTTTTTAAGATTTGTTTTTTTATGCATATAAGAACTGGGGGACAGGCCAAAGTGTGTGGGGTATGGGGACAGTGGTGAAAGGATTTACAGAGACAAGAGTGGGAAGCAGAACAGGCAGATCTGCTGCTGAAGGGAGCAGCGAGTGGGACAGGAGACATGGGCCACACCATGTAGGTCACCTCCCTGATCAGGGATCAAACTCATGTTGCAGTGGCTGTGGATGGCTTCATAGTGCTGTGCTTACAGCACAGTGGGAAGAGCCTTTTCATTCTGCTCTTAAACCTATCCACTGAGTTTATATTTCATTTATTATGTTTTTTATAATATACTTTCTCATTTAGAAAATACTTTCATTTCTTTGGTGAGGTTTCCTGCTTTTTTTATAATATACTTCTCATGGTTCATCTTAGTATTGGCATCTGTAAGTTTCCCTTTTTTGTACTCAGTTTGTTTAGGTTTTTATTATGATGAGTGATTTTTTCAGATGAAACCTGGACATTTTATATTGTGAAACTCTGGGTCTTATTTAAATTTATTCACCTGCCTTCTCTGAGATCATCCTGGCAAAGGAAGGGGTATGGGGCATGGCCTGTTTATGGGCTGATTCCCACTTGACCTGCATTAGCTCCTGTGGGTAGTGGGGCTTCTTTTTACCACTAAATAAGGAAGGTCTAGGGTTCCCACTTGGCTTCTGACACCAGCCTGCTGTGGGTATGTCTGTTTATCATCAGAAATGTAGAATTGGTAGAGAGTAGAGGTATTATAGGTGGAGGTGTCCTCTAGGATGGGTGCCTAGGCTCCAGCTTCAGCTTTTGCTGGGGTGAGTGGGCCTGGAGTGTTGGGGACTGGCCCTGATCACGGATTATTGGGGGGCAAAACAGGCAGGGTCCAAAGGTGGGAGCGGCATTGGCGAACAGAGATTCCTAAAAGGGGAAAAAGGGGGCATTCCCTATCCACCCGGAATTTTCAGTCGACAGAAGATGCATAGCTTGTGTCACTGGAGCCGGTGTTTTTGTGGTTGAGGTTCGAGTGGAGCCGTTATAGTCAAATTCTTCTGGTTTTCGAGGTTACTCCTTCCTAATCTTTTGATTTTTGTTGGGCATTTTTTTGTCTGCACTGGTGTTGGCCAACTTCATTAGAAACAAGTCCGGGCTATGTGAGCCAAAAAGAAAGTCCAGGAAACTCATCACTGTTTCATTCCTCACATCTCAGCGACCTCACCTGATCAGCTTTTCCTTCCATTTTTCACTTTTATTTTGTTGTTTCATATATATATATATATATATATATATATATATATATATATATGGTCACAGGTTTTAAGTTTATTTACCCCTACTTTTCTAGACACAGAAGTCTTGGGACCATGGATTTTAAAAAAATTCCCTACTGTTTCATGCCTTTATTGTAAGAACTAAACGTGATTGTGCCATAACACTTAAATCGTCTCTGGCACATACATGGTAGGGTACAACAAATATTAGTCCTTATTAATCCTGATGGAAAGCTGGTACAAGTACAGTTGGCTATATAAATCTCTTGGGTCACACAATGGTAGGAAAATAGAAAACTGGGGCTAACTATAGAGTAGGAATTGATCCATTCCTGCCCATGGAGTTGTGTCCTCGGTTCTGAATGGTCAGAAGGATTTCCAGAAGTTCCCCCTACCCCCAGACCCTCCCTTGTTGAGGAGCAGACTGCTTAGAGCACAGGAATGACCCACATCAGGGATCTGAGCCCAGTGACTCAGGTCAGAAGGTCCAAATTAGTACCTTCTTTTGAGCTTTGGAGATTAATGCCTGGCTCATTTACTCAACTTTTCATTCACTTTATTCCTGTTTCAGGAGATAGTGGAACAAACCATGAAGAGGAGGCAGCGGAGAGAGTGGGAGGCCCGGAGGTGAGTATGCTCATCAAGCAGCATCCATGCCCAGAATTCCACTCTCCAGTGGATCTGTGCAGTCACAACTTCTTTTTTCCTGGAGGCTGCATGCACTTTTTTTCTTCTCTAGGGTAATTTGTTTAATGTAGAGGCTATGGACCAGTGGCTCCAGGAACAAGGGTGTGGCCCTTGCGCTGGGGAGAATGTCGGGTTCCCTCAGTGTTGCTCTCTCATCCCATGAGAAAAGGGCCAGGCCTATCTCATATAAGACATTTGTTAGGGGTGATGGACCCCACTGCCTGTTTATTTTCATAGTTTTCTAGATGTAGAGAAATGTATCTACAATTCCTTACAAGTGAGATAGATGCCAATTGTGTAAAACTTTTTGTAGGAAATAGAAGTTTGAAAGGAAACTAAGTTATCCATAATCCCTTTTCATATTGCAAAACTAAAACTTAAAGTCCCTTAAAATAAAAATATTGGAGGGGGCCTCCCTGCTGACTTAGGGATTAAGCATTAAATCACTATTTTGACTTGAGTTCAATCACTTGAGTTTGACCCCCCCAGCCAGGGAGGTGACCCACATGGCATAGTATACCTCGTATTTCACCCATTGCTCCCCTCAGCAGTATCTGTCAGTAGATCTGCCTGTTCAGCTTTCCACTCTGTCTCTGGTGAATCCTCTTATCCCCCTCCCCGCACCCCCCCCACACCTCTGACCTGCATCACAGGTCCTCTATGCAAAAATAAATAAAATTTTAAAAAATAATAAAATTTAAAATATTGAGAAGGCTAGTCTAGCTTGAGTTGAATATTCAGCAGTGCCCTTGAACTGGACATTCATTGCTTCATCCTGTCCTTAATGGTCTCCCCAGCATTGGCCACTGAGGTGGGGCCTTTGTCACCTGCCTTTACAACTGAGGGTATGTGTTTGATAGTCCCTGTAGAACAATGTAAGGCCATTTCATGTAGTATAAGGAAAGAAAAGTGGATGTAATATGACAAGATTTTACAGGATCATAATCTACCTGTAATTTTGCACTTTTCCACTTAATTTAGCCATCTAATATAGTATCCAACAGCCTTTATAATGTGCACAGTACTTAACTGACCATTCCTCTTCTTTTTGAACTGTAGGTTACTTCCAGTATTTTGCTGTGGCAAATAAGGCTGCAATCAGCAACTTTTGTACATAGCGAGTTTTGCCTTAGTTCCTTTGAAATTAATTGTAATAATTTCTTAGAAGTAGGTTCTGAGACTTTCTTAGAAGTGGGTTCTGGGACTGTATCATTTTATATTTGCCTTTACCACTAGTATATTGTGTCAGTTTTACTCTTTTCCAGCATTGTATAGATGTAGTCATCCCCCTTATCAGTGGTTTTGCTTTTCACGATTTGTTAGCCATGTTCCAAAGATATTACATATAAGTTAGTCTGAGACTTATTTATGACTTTTGTTAGAGTATATTGTTATAGTTGTTCTATTATGTTATATTATTGTTAATCTCTTCCATTGCTTAGTTTGTAAATTAAACTTTGTGGCAAGTATGTATGTAGAAGAAAAAAACAAAGTACATAAGAATTCTGTACTGTGTGCATTTTCAGGCATCCACTGGGGAATTATCCCCTTTGGATAAGGGAGTAACTGGCATACAGTCCATGGAAGGAAAAATTTATAAGAAACACCATGGTTTCATTTGCGTTTCTTTGAGTACTGTCAGGTTGTGATACTTCCCAAGAATGTGTGTGTCTCTGTGTATTGTTTCCCACTGAAGAGCCACATTTTGTGTCATTGCAGAAGAGACATTCTCTTTGACTATGAGCAGTATGAGTATCATGGGACCTCGGTGAGTACAAAAATATGGAATTCACCATGAAGTTCTGCCTCTAGGGGTCAGTGTCTAAAACTGGAAGAGGAATGAGCCTAAGTTTTAACAAATAGGAAGCCTATTTGTGTCTTAACTCCACAGCTTCTCATTGTGTGACCCTGGGTAACAGACGTTTCTCCTCCACAAAATGAGAGAACAGTCTTTTCAGAGGCTGTTGTTGGGGTATTCCCTCACACCTAATAGGTGCTCAAAGAGCTAATGCTATTTTTATTCATCATCAGAAATATAGAATTGGTCTTTGTGCAAAAAGATAAAATACTAGCACTGTAAAGGCCCATCAACGTGTGTGCATTACAGAGCAGAATTTTGTATAGAAAACCTAGTGTGTCCACTCTAGTAGTGATAAATCAGGACCTTAAAGAACTCTAGAAATTAATTATTCAATAAAATATATGGGACCTTGAACTCTATTTTCAGGGTCCCATTTATTGTCAACATCCCATTGTCCTTCAAAACATCACCCTTTCTGTCTACCCTGGCAAATTAGGAATTTCTAAGCTGCTGGTAGAGAGGGTGGGGCAACAGATACTTAGATTTCACCCTTGGAAGTCCTCTCTGGTCGGCAGCTTATCATCTCCTGCCTAAGGAAGTATTCCAGTTAGATACTGATGCCCCCTTACCATGGCCTACCAAAATCCAAGCCTTCTGCTCACAGGGAGCTAAATGCTTTCATCTATAGACGGAAGACTTTCTCTCAGGGAGTACTAAGGCTTTCTCCTTCTCTAGCATCCAAGTAACACAAACCAACACCCTGGCCTTGAGAATGTTCTAGGAAGCCAGCCAACCTGGAAGAACACATGGACAGAGTTACACAGGTGACAGGGCCCTTATCTCCTGTGTCAGTGCCTTCCTTGACAGGATGTATAGAGACCCTAGCACAGTGTTACACCTGGCTGCCTCCCTACCTGTTCAGTATTGCATGATGAGGTGTGCTCATAATAATGGCATCACCAGCGGAGGAGCAGGTGCCAGTCACTTGAATTATTTTCTCATTCTTCCTCAAATTAGCCTGGAATCCACCAAAAAGCAAGGACCAGGCTAATCCTCTATTTTCAAGGATGTAGCCAGGGCTTGGGTACCTCAGATATGGCTTTAGCAAGCTATGAGTATACTTGCCTTCTTTGTTTCTGCAGTCAGCCATGGTGATATTCGACTTGGCATGGATGATGTCCAAGGACCTGAATGACATGTTGTGGTACGTAGCCCACAGTCAAAGTCAGTTCTTTGTGTGTCCTCTCCAAGCAGCTATCTCCCCATTCTGAGGGCAGGGTCTAGAGGCAGATGTCACTGCTTGAGCTTCACCAGGAAAAGTGCAGCCCCTTTCTGTAATGTGCATGGCTGTGGGCATAAGACTTCCTTCTCAGTCCATTTAACACTTGGTGTGGTAGCTGGGGGTTGAGACGGTGGTATAATTGGAGAGTCCAGAGGATAGGAAGGTGAGACTTGGGTCCATTCTTCCCATAGTACCACTCAGTCTTGCTGCCTAGGAATGTTAGGAAACAGAAGGACCATGAGATTTAAGCAAGGCAGCTCTAGCCAGGCATCTTTGCCACGCTGTGCATTGCAAAATATGCAGGGAAACTCCTTGTTCATTTCTAAGTTGCCTGGAGCAGAAGGTCTAGGCACATTGGCATAAACTCAGATTGACTTAGAAACTAGACCTGCAGAGTCTTTCAGAGTGAAAAGAGTAAAGCTTTTACCTGCCTTCTCAGTCCTCTGCTGTGGCTTCTAGTTTTTTTCTCTGAGAAATCGCAATCTAGAGAGGCCTCTTCTGGCCCTGAGTGCCCATTGTGAGTGCCCATGATGGTCTGCACTGAGTTGGGACAGTGACCATGGCATTGGCCACACCTAGCCCCAGGGACGCTTTGTTATCACCCTGAGTTGGGGCCGAGATGAGTGCCTGCTCACAGTCCTGAGGCAGCTGTCTCAGTCCTCATTGTGGACTGACATCTTCACATCCTGGGACAGGGATTCAGGCTCATGCAGTAAGGCCAGTTTATCAAAATTACCCCTTTGAAATGTCTCCAGAAAATTCAGAAATAGCACAGGAGCAAAATGCAGGTAATTATGCAAAAGGTACATGTGGGAGAATTGAGAGGATGTGTGATCAGTCAGAGAAATGCTCTGGGTGTCATTTTCTAAAGTGATCCCTCTGAAGCAGGAAGCACAGTGCACTGGAAGAAGGTAGGTGTTTTGGTGCCCTGCCCCTTCCAGTTGAAGCTTCCAGGGCCTCTTCCACCTTACTTTGTATGCAGCATCCCAGACTTCACAGGTATAGGACCAGAGCAGTGCCTAGGGGTAACTGGCTATGTCTGTGACCCTGGTCTCACTGTGCCCTGGCCATTTTCCCAGGTTGGCCAGGCCAGTCTGGGCCTCTGTCAGAGGAACTTTTGAACAGAATCTTAAAAAGTTCTTAAGAGACCTCTCAGCTGTTATTCTGTCTCCACCATTTTACTAAAGTAATATATGGATGTGGGGAGGGGCTCCTGTGCTGCAGGGGATGTCACAGAGGGGTAGGTGACACTAGTCTCAGGTGTGGTAATAATAGCACAGCCCTCCAGGGCTAGGGTGCAGGGACCTGTTGCAAAGCAGGCAGTGAGCCAGGACGTAGAGAGCTGTGTCCTCCACCCTTATCCAGCATCTCTCTCCTGATTATCAAATACTTCCTTGGTGGTAACACTGCCAGGAGCTCTGAGCCAGGCCCCAAGTCAGCCCTGTTGTCTCACAACCCCACACAGGAGAGACTACCTCTCTGAGGAGGTCTGAGTCAGGACATACCAGTGAAAGCTGCCCCAGCCTCCCTGTGACTTCTCCATCACACTTTCCTCTCCTCCTAGGTGGGCCATCGTTGGACTGACAGACCAGTGGGTGCAAGACAAGATCACGCAGTAAGGATGCACTCCCCTGGGCTGTTTGATGTTGACCCTATGCAGCCTGGCCACAGCCTAAGTGTACAGCCGGGAGATGGGCGGCAGCGTCACTGCAGAGCCCCATGTAGGAGGGGTCTGGCTCTGGGCCTTACCACCAAGAAAGGGCTTGCTTAGGTCCAGGACCCCTGGAGGAATAGTGTTTGGCCTGTGTGAATGAAGCCACCCTCAGGGAGCCCAGCAGGAAGAGCCATTGGGAAGAGTAGGTATATGGGCTTGTATCCTGTACCACTGCAGGATGCATCCGAGGGCAGGTTAGAAGTGGGGGTCCCAGGAGCCCTGTGACAGAAGATGAGAATGGTCTCAAAGGCAGAGGAAAGACTGCTGTGGAGAGCTTTTAGGTGAACTGGTATGGAGTTGAATCCTTTTTCCCCTTGGTGAACAGGCTTCGATGCTCCCTGTCTGTCTGAGCTGAGGTAAAGGGCCCCCCTAGGATGCACCAGCTGTCATCCCCACTCTGGTAACTGTCAGGTGGGAACTTTTCATGGATTCAACAGGTTCTGCAACTGTGATCTTAATCTTCCCCTATGGGATAGGTCTGCCACCTGGCACCACCTTCTAATAGTTTGTAGAGACCCCCCATCCAAGTTCTCCAGTGTGGGAGTGTTCTGAATCTGACAGCTGCTCCTAGACAGCTGCCCTGCTGGGCCTCTCTGTTGAAGGGCACCAGGAATCATCAGGGATGATAGAGATGGCAGCCGTGTCGAGGCCTCAACATCATTGTGCTTGGTGGCCACTTGGAGGTGGACCAAGCTGGGGCTACTACTGTGGGGTACTGCTCAGTTGTACTCTGGAGCACTTTCTGTGCCAAGTCCACATCTTTTCCACTTGACTGTGACTGGCCAGTCACATGGCTTCCACATTGTCTGCTCTTAGAAGGCCTTGAGTAAGTAAGGATAGGGCAGCTGTGGCCCAGAGCAGAGAGTAGGGAGTCAGGTGAGACCAGAGGCTGCCCTTCCCATCTCCGTGTGCTCCTGTCTTCCCAACCAATACTGTATAGTTTCTAAGAGGCGGCAAAACTTCCTTAGTTCTGGATAGGAGCAGCTCCAGCCTCTGAATGTGGAGGGAGGAAGCCCAGGCTATGTTACATGTGAGGGGAAAGAAGGAACAAACCCAGACCAGTGTGCCTTCTCTCCAGAATGAAGTACGTGACTGACATTGGTGTCCTGCAGCGCCATGTGTCCCGGCACAACCACCGGAATGAGGACGAAGAGAATGCCCTTTCTGTGGACTGCACACGCATCTCCTTCGAGTACGAGTATCCTTGTGGCCTAGGGGTGCCTGTAGCTCTTGTGCCCTTGGACACTTCCCAGTGACTTTGCATTGTCAAACCTGCAGGTCCCAACCCACATCCCAATGGTCATGTGCTTCAGAGTTGTGGGTTTAGGTTATGTGATTGTGGCCACTGTGTCCCCAGGAAGGACAGCAGACTGGTCTAGAGGTTTTGGGCAAGGTAGCTTGACAACAACCACAGGCTTCTACCACGTCAGTCAGGAAAGCAATGAGTTGGCATATGGTTACAGAGTACAGGAGTGTTAGTGACGAGAATGTGGGACATGATGGAGTAAGTGCCCAGGAGACCTTGGGAAGGCTGCATCTCAGGCCAAGGTATGGCCATATTTGGTAGGAGGGAGAGCACAGCCAAGTAGAGGTTCTAGGGTGTACCTGAGGAAAGGACTGGAAAGAAGGGTGATGTCTGGCTGTCACAGTCCAAAGCACGTAACCCTATGAACCCAGAACAGTGACCTGAATTCAGTTCCTTGTGCTTAAGAAGTTGTCAGGCATCTGACTGCAGGTGAGGAGACAATAGCAGTGGTCCAGGCCAGACTAAGGTAGTACCAGCAACATCCGCCATAAGGCATGGCTGGGATCTCACACTTCAGTAGATAAAGCAATGGCAGGGATGGGGGTGGGATATCTGAGGACAAGTAAACATGGGTTTAGATAGGTGGAGTAGGAGGTGCTCAGAAATCTAGGCAACAGACTACCAAAGGAGTCACAGCATGCTGGAGCCTCCAGGAATTGAAGTGACATCCAGGGACCAGGTGATGCCCAGGGCCCAGTTGAGAGGGACAGAGATGAGAACTTGCTATATGCCTAGAAACAGGGCCAGGGCAGAAATGATGGCAGCATGACTGCGGGGTAGAGGGTGGGGGGCAAATTAGCCGGCCCAGTACTCTTGGGTCATGGGAGGAAGTCTCACACTGCTGTGCTTGCAGTGATGAAGGGTGTGTCCAAGACATGGAGTGAGGATGCAGGCTTCACGAAGGAGTCCTAACTGACTAGTGGGAATGAGGGCAGTTAGGGGACAAATGGGATGACAGCCCGGCCTTATGACACCCATTGGACCTGCTGCATTCTGTGTGGCTGTTAGGGCTGGCAGACCTCTGCATCTCATTTTCTCAGTCACATGAGGAAATTGTGGTGTGTCTACCATCTGATAAGTTCTCTATATGAGTCAAGTTAAACTAGGAAAGTCCAAAAAAAGATCTGGATTGCTTCTGGAATGGCTTGTGCAGGTGGTTCTGGGATGGCTGGGACCAGGTAGTGGAGTGGCCTGGGTCACTGTTGCAGCTGCAGCGTCCTTGACTACAGCCCAGCCTCCGCCTGGCACTCTACCAGCACTGGTCCCTCCACGACAGCCTGTGTAACACGTGCTACACGGCCTCCAGGTTTAAGCTGTGGTCTGTGCATGGGCAAAAGCGGCTCCAGGAGTTCTTTGCAGATATGGGGTGAGTGACCATCCCACTGTCCTTGAGGGAGAAACCTTTCCCCTTTACCATGACCCACTTGGAGTGATCTGTCTGTTGCCTTTTCTGCTCTAACAGCCGTGATCCCAGAATCTAGCCCATGGCCCACATTGGGATACCCCTGTATATACATTATGGGTCCTGGCGGGCTTCTTCCCCCACTGTCATCACTTCAGCAATACTGATATGAAGATAGTTTACTCTCATTACCAGCACTCGCTGTCTTTCCAGTCTCCCTCTGAAACAGGTGAAGCAGAAGTTTCAATCCATGGACATCTCCTTGAAGGAAAATTTGCGAGAGATGATTGAAGAGTCTGCGAATAAATTTGGGTAAACATTTTTCTGGCTTAAGTTTCAGCTTTAACTGCCATCCTAAAATAATGCATAAAATAAGAATGTATAAATGAGCATGACCTCAATCTGGCCATTCCTGAATGTTGAGTTCTATTTAGCTTAAAGTAGAACTTTTAAGTGCCTGGAAGGTCTACAGTTCTTAAGTTCTGGGACTAAGACATAGAACTTTGAACTTGATCCAGGGTCCTCCTCTCTGGACACAGGAAACAGACTTGGGAAGGGCCTACTGAGGCCAGTTTCAGTGCTCTGCCTGACTGGGTCCTCTGGCATCCTAGGCAAGTGCCTGGCCGTCCCTGGCTTAACTGCTCCCTGCATCCTAGAGCTTCGAGAAACCAGCATGTACATTCTACCCTAACACCTGTTTAATGTTTTGCCCCAGTCAGTTGAGCAGCTTTGGGTGAACAGGCACTCTTTGGATTATAGCACTGTTGTGACCCCCTTCATTCTCTGACAGAATGACTGAGCTGTGAGTGCTTGTGGGCTTAGGAGATACAACTACCCATGTGCTGGTCTTGTGTGGTGAGAGCTCTCCCACGTGCCAGGTAACAGCTGCATTGCTTCCTTCCATTGCAGGATGAAGGATATGCGTGTGCAGACATTCAGCATTCATTTTGGGTTCAAGCATAAGTTCCTGGCCAGTGATGTAGTCTTTGCTACCATGTCACTGATGGAAAGTCCCGAGAAGGATGACTCAGGGACGGATAACTTCATCCAGGCTCTGGATTCTCTCTCCAGGTAGTTGACAGAGGGGTGGGTCTCCCTTCAGGCAACCTCAGGTCCTCAGCCTCACACTTCTAAGGAGGCAATTCAGGGGCTGTGGGAGGGACCATGCCCTGTAGAACCTGCTTGAGTGCAAATTAGAATCACGGTTCACCAGACCCAGAGTGCACCCAACACTTTTCCTGTTCTTGAGTGTATTTCTCTTTCTCTTAATTCCTTTTTAAAAAATATTTATTTATTTATACATATAAGAACTGGGGTACAGACCAGAAGTGTGGGGCTTGAGAGAATTCACCAGAGACAGAGTAGGGAGCAGAAAAGGCAGATCGACTATTGAGGGGAACAAACTCTTGTGGAAGTGGCTTTAGCTTCTTAGTGTTGTGCTTTAACCTGCTGTGCCACCAGGGAGGGCTCTGTCTTTTCATTCTTAATGTTCATTGAAGCCTAAAAGTTTTTTATTTTGATGATGTCCTAGTTATCTTTTTTCTTTTGTTTCTTATATTTTAAATGTGTTACCTGTAAGAAACTACTGCCTAATCTAAGGTCATGAAGATTTATAATATATTTTCACAGTCTACCCATTCTGTCTCTGATGAATCCTCTCACTCCCTGCACTCTGACCTGTACCCTAGTTCTTGTATGCATAAATAAATAAATCTTTTAAAAAAGACCTTTAAATAATGTGTATGATTCATTTCAGGTTAATTTTTTTAATTGTGGAAAGATACTTGTGAATGTGTGTATATGATACAGTGCTAAATCACTAGTAGTAGGAAATTATTTTTTCTTGTTTGATTTGCACTGTTTTTTTCACCTCCACCACCATACCTTATACTATTGACCCTCTCATCGCCCTTCCCTCTTTTTTTTATTTTTAAAGATTTTACTTATTTATGCATACAGGACTAAGTTATAGGCCAGAGGTACAGGCGCCGTGAGAGAATTTACCAGAGACATTGAGTAGCAGAACAGGCAGATCAATGAAGTACATTGCTGAGGGGAGCAGCAGGTGAGACAGGAGAGGTCTGCTGCACCATGTGGATCACCTCCAGGGCCTGGGATCGAACTTGCACTGAAGCAGGCACAGCCAGCTTCAGAGTGCTGATTCCAGCCTGCTGTGCCACCAGGGAGGGCCCACCTCTTAACCTCAGAAGCCTCACTTCATTTATTAGTGTCTACTGGTTTTTGTTTTTGTTTTTTTTTAACATTTATTTATTCATGTATACAGAACTAGGGCATAGTTCAGAGGTGCAGGGGCGATGAGAGGATTCACCAGAGACACTGGGGAGCAGAATAGGCAGATTGACTGAAATACACTGCTGAGGGGAGCAGTGGATGAGACAGGAGAGATCTGCTGTGTCATGTGAGTGACCCTTCTGGCTGAGGATCAGACTGGTGCCACGGCTGAGGCTAGCTTCGTAATTGCTGTGTTTTAACCCCTTGCACCACCAGGGAGGGCCAGTGTCTGCTAGTTTTTAGAGGTATTTTGCTTTGTTGAATCATCTGCTATAAAATGGTCAATATTTGAGTTTGTTATTCTAACTTTCTTTATTATACATACTTGACCTTCTTACATTTTCCTGTAAATGTAACAATTCATCTTTTCGTAAGGCTGAATAGTATTCCATAGTGGAATATATCCATAGTGGATATGTTGATATACCACATCTTCTTATTTAATCCTCTGTTAGTGGGCACTTAGGTTGTTTCCAGTGTTCTAGCCAATGTAAATAGTGCTGCAGTAAACCATAGAACGTATAATTTTTTGACTTGATGGTTCCGTGTTTACATGATTGGTATCATCCCCTAAGAGTGGGATTATTGGGCCACAATAGTACTTTCGTTCTTAAAGGTAATTCAGATCAAATTACAAAATGGCGGTACCAGTTTACATTTCACCAGCAGCAAAATAGGGTTATCTTCCCTCTATTCTCTCCTGCTTTTGTGGTTGGAGGTCATTTTAATCTACTTAGGACTTATTTTGTTATGTAAAAGCAAACAAAGTGTAATGTAATTTCCTTTGTTTATTATTGTTTTATATCCCTTTCCATAGAGGTGAAGTCTCCAAAAATACCTTTTATCATTGATGTCATGAAATGTATCACCAGTGTTTTCTTCTTTGTGATTTATTATTGCAGGTCTTAGATCTTAGTCTTCACTCCACTTGGAATTAACTTCTGTGCATGGAATTAGAAAGAGATTCAACTTCATTCTATTACAATTTTCCTAGTACTAGTTGTTAAAGAGACTGTCCTTTCCAGTTGTTAAAGAGACTGTCCTTTCCCCGTTACATGGTTGTGACTGCTTTATCATAAATTAGTATTATTATATAAGTGGATTTATTTCTGGTCCTTTGATCCATTTGTCCATATTGTTTTAATTATAGTTGCTTCTTAATAGGTTATGCCACATAATGCTTTGGTTTCATTTTTCTTTTTTGATTACTTTTGCTGTATGACTTCATGCCCTTTTGCTTTTATGATTCTGTAAATTTTAATCTTTGCCGTTCAGTTTCTTAGAGGTATACTGATGGTATTTTATTTATTTATTTTAAGATTTATTTATGCATACATGAGCTGGAGTGCTGGCCAGAGGTGTGAGGGATGGGGCTGAGAGGATTCACCAGAAACAGAGTGGGGAGCAAAACAGAAAGATCTCTGAAATACACTGGTGGTCAACACAGGAGAGGTCTGCTGTGCCATATGGGTCACCTCCCTGTCCAGGGATCAAACTCATGCTGCAGTGGCTGTGCATAGCTTCATATGATGTGACTTAATACTTTGCACATCAGGGAAGCCCCACTGTTGATTTTTTTTTTTTTTAAGATTTATTTATTTGTGCATACAGAACTGGGGTACAGGCCAGAGGCTCAGGGGCAGTGAGAGACTTCACCAGAGACAGAGTAGGGAACAGAACTGGCAGATCGACGAAGTACACTGCTGAGGGGAGCAGCGGGCGGGTCAGGAGAGGTAGGCCACACCATGTGGTCATCTCCGGGGCAGGCGGGAATTGAACTCATGTGGAAGCGGCCTTAGATTCTCAGTGCTGTGCTTTAACCCGCTGTGCCACCAGGGAGGGCCGCACTGTTGATATTTTAATGCAGATTTTGTTAAATTTATCTGTTGCTTTTGGTAGAATGATCATTTTGACTATATGATACCCACTTATGAGCATGAGGAGTCTGCTTCATCTTAGGTCCTAATCTTGTAGTTTTTATTGTATGTCTTTTACCTCTTTGGTAGATATTTGATGAGGCTTCTATGTCTGGTGTTAGGAAGTTTTCCAACAGGTCTTTGTATGTCAACAAGATATTGTTCCAGGACCATTGTTCCAAAAATATCTTTTATCATTGATGTCATGAAATGTTAAAAAGACTCCTTTCCCCCATTGAATTATTTTGGCATCCATGCTGAAATTAGTTGACCATAAATAAGAGAATTGATTCTAAACTTTCGATTCTATTTGTGAATCTTTATACCATACTGTTTTGATTACTGTTGCTATTGCAATTTTTGGCTATTCTCAGTTCTTTAATTTTCACGTGAATTTTAAATCACTATGTCAATTTTAAGTCTTCCACTCCATCAACATATGTTTTTCCATTTGCTTAGGTCCTCCTTTCAACAATGTCTTATAATTTCCTGATGGATAAAATTTTTACTTTTGTTAAACTTATCCCTAAATGTTTATTCTTTTTGATGCTATTCTAAATAGACTTGTTTTCATAATTTCATTTTTGGTTTGTTCTGTTTTAGTTGTTTCTATGCTACTTGCATAGAAATACTATTGATTTTTGTACATTGATCTTGTATCCAGCAACATTGCTGAACTTGTTTTATTAGCTCTAACAGTTTTAGGTGGATTCCTTAAGGTTTTCCTTGTACAATTTTGTTATCTGCAAATAGAGGTGATTTTACATCTTTCTTTCCAGCTTAACTGCCTTCTATTTAATTTTCTTGGCTAATTGCCCTAATAATATTTACTGTTATCCCAGCATGTTTTTATCTATATCTTCTCTTTTATTTTCTATAATGTTCTATCTTGTGCGTTTATCTATCTTGTTGGTTTCTCCCCAATGCCAGGCACAGTTTGGAAAGGAGCTATGGCCGGTCAGGTGGTACTTCCAGGGGCTAGACTACTCTGGCACCCTACCCTGCTCCTTACCATGACCCTCTTACACTCTTGGGTAGGGAAAAAATAAGTTGTGACCACTGTTCCCCAGTCATTTTGTGTATCACTTTCTCTACTCCCTCCCTGCTGAGGACAATACCCACTCTTGTGACCTATTGGTAGTCTATTTTCTCTTCCTTATATATTGGAATCTGTCATATTCCATCATTCCCTTACCGTATTGTAAGTGTAGGTCTTAGATTCTTCGTTTTATAATCTAGTTGCTCTATTTTTATCTAGAAATCTGGGGAAATCCACAACCTAAACTGCTGGAGGCCTCATCTAAGAATTGATGAATAATTTTAGACATTGTCTACTGAGTTCCTGCTATGACAAAAGAACATTTTTCCCACATTTGTGCTCCTTCCCCCTTATTTTTAGCTCCTTTGTAACTGTAACATTCTTTTTTTTTTTTTTTAAGATTTATTTATTTATGCATACAGAACTGGAGTACAAGCCAGAGGTGCAGGGGTGGTGAGAGGTTTCACCAGAGACAGAGTGGGGAGCAGGACAGGCAGACAGACAAAGTATAAAGCTGAGAGGAACAGTGGGCAAACCAGGAAAGGTCTGCCTCGCCGTGTGGATTACCTCCAGGGCGGGGAATCGAACTTGCACTGAAGCAGCCACAGCTATCTTGCAGTGTTGCATTCTAACCTGTTGCACCACCAGGGAAGACCACTGTAACATTCTTATGTCTGTTCTATAGTCAGTGTCTCAAGTCTCTCTTTCTCTTTGCAAGAAAAGGAAATTAGCCTCCCTCCTTTTTCCTTCTCCCATGCTTCCCAGTTTCTGAAATCTATACTTTTACATCTTCATGGTTTATTATACTTATTCTTAAGCTGAGACTAGAATACAAGTTGTCTCATAATACATAGTCTTACTTCATTCTTCTGATAAAATATTTCAGAATCACTCTATTTCCTAGAGCTCTCAATTATCTCTTTATAATATCCATTTGTTTTCCCAGCTTCCTTCATGGAGATACTCCCTGAGTGTCTTTTGTCAATGAGAACCAGAGACTCTGTTTTTCACATTCTAGCTGAACCCTCAGTTCTCTGCACCTGCTCATCTGCTGCCCTGTCTGTAACCTTAGTCTGTACCCCTAGGTTAGAGCCAACATTTCTTGATATCTTTTACTCATTTTGTTTAAGCACCATCCTCAAGTCCCTTTTAAAGAAAGGATGCATTCTGACTTCTCACACCTCTGACATAACAGTTGCTGGTCTAGCTCATACAGCATTCCAGGTTGAAGGTAATTTCCTCTTGAATGGGGTGTCCATTGTCTACCTGTCTTCTAATACCCAGTGGTGCCGATGGGAAGAAGGAGCCATATTGGTTCTTCTTTGTAAATGTATCTCCTCTCCTCCTGAAAAAGCCTTCACCACCTTCCCTTTATTCTCAGTATTCTAGAATGTTATAGTAATATGTCTAGGACAGGGCTTGGGAATGCTTTGTACTGTTTCTTCTCTTTCATTCTCCCTCGTTGGTGTTTTCTATCCTTTTTAGGCCTTCAGGAATGATGCTCTAGCTCTTATTTTTGCAGTAGATTTTCCTTGTTTATCTTCCTTATATTAAGGAAGCGTTTCTTTATCCTCTAAGAGAATTTTTATGTTCTTGTAATCATTTTACTTTCCACAAATACCTCCTACTTTCTGATTGTTCCATTTTATAACATCATCTTCTTGTTTTACAAATATATTAATTACTGAAATCATTCCAAAAATAATAATTAGTTGATTTCTTTTGTTCTTCAAATTATGTCTGTTTCCTCTAGGGTTATTTCTTTAGATCACAGGCATTCCTCAAATGTCTGTTGGTATTTCATATTCAAGAGGGGGCTTCGGAAACCTGGTGAGCCCTGGATCTCTGGATGTAACTTTGATGGTCAAAGGCATTGTTTCATCCTGGTGGATGGAGAGCCACTCTGGGTTTGGACTCCTTACTGGCTGAGTACAGTAACTGTTTGAGGACCTCACTTCTCCATAGAGGGTTCATCTTAATGTATTCATAGAAGGACCCTTTTTTGACATGGAAGATAGAGATCCACCTGTCATGTTTTGGGGTCACTGCTCCTCCTCCTAAGTCTCTGTCACCCCATCCTCTACCCTCTAGTCACCCACCAGTGTCAGTCTCCTGACTCCAGCACCAAAGCTTCCCATCTCTCATGTTCATCATGGTGAATTTACATGTTTTTCATTCCCTCCTTTCATGTAAAAGGGAATTTCTGGAGGGAGAGTTCTGCACACACCTTCCTGATCCAGAGACGTTTGTTTGTGACTCTGCTAAAGCCATGTGTCTACCATGTTACAGGAGTAATCTGGACAAGCTGTACCGGGGCCTGGAACTCGCCAAGAAACAGCTGCAAGCCACACAACAGACAATTGCCAGTTGCCTCTGCACGAACCTTGTCATTTCCCAGGGACCCTTCCTCTACTGTTCTCTCATGGAGGTTAGGCTTCTTTTTCTCTAACATGGACTCCAGGCCATGCCTGTTAGTAGTTCCCTCTGACTATCTGTCTCTTCCCCCCACCACCTCCCCACCAGGGTGCCCCAGATGTCATGCTGTTCTCCAAGCCAGCATCCCTAAGCCTGCTCAGCAGACACCTGCTCAAGTCCTTTGTGTGTTCGGTGAGGAGCTGGGTAGTGGGTGCCAGAAATCAGGTACTCAGACTGGGTGTTAGAAACTTGACTACAGGTAGCTTTTCGAGCTGTGTATTCCTCAGCTGACCCCTAAGAAATTTGTGGTTCCCACAGTTCTGACTTTATCACTCACTCTCCAGTTCTCAAGTGACTAAGGAGGAGTCTAATGGGACACATGAAGCTAGGTGTGGGACTTGTGTTCAGCAATGGCAAATCAGGGAAAGACCACATTGGTTGGAGTATGAACTTGCTTCCCAGCAAAACTTTTGTTTTCAGGAATTACTTTCCCTTTTCTGTGTGTGGCTCTGTCTTCTGTGTTTGGCCCATGATACCTACTCAGCTCATATTTAGGCAGAAGTGCCTTGCCTACTAATAATATCAGGTTCCTGAGTGTGATTATGGTAGGGTTGATCCTGCACATTTCAATCATGGAAATCTTTTTGTCCTCCCAGGTCAGCAGTATGGGTTTATCACTATTCATAAATGGTCCAAAGACTTAGAAGGCCCATTACTGTTAGTATAACCACATAGATGAAATATCACTTATTGACATGGAATGGAAATGACACTTTCGTATATATTTAAAAGATATGTACACATACGTACACTCCCCTCCTACCCCCTACCTTCAGGGCTTATTACATAATGCTACAAAAATGGGAGGCATGAAGCTGGAGGAGTTCCAATATACACAGCTCATTGAACTGTCTCAAGCATAAAAACTGAATTTACACTGTAAAAATAGTTTCATCAAACATTTTGGACTAACCTCCAACAAAGCAAATAATGAATACCAATGATTTTCATCCTATTCAACACAACTTAAAATATAAAAGGTCAACAGTTGTGAAAGTCCAGAAAATGTAGAAGTTATTGGAATATAATGTATTTCACCAAAAAAAGTCTATAGCAAAGCAGTTTTGTCCTGAGTTTTACATACTTAAGAGTCATAATTTATTAAACTCCATCAGGTTAAGCTAGAACAAATGATAGAGAAATTATTACTTCAAACAAGATGTGACTGTCCTTTAATCTTTTAAACAAGAGTTTCACTTGTAGAAGAACATCATGTACTTGGAATATCATAAGTTATAATTAAAGAGCACACATAGAAAACTATTTACTTTTTTCTTTTTAAAGTGCCATATATACTTTTCATTAAAAAAAAGTGAACAGGAGCTATACATGTGGAGATGAAAGACAACAAAGAGAATTTTTTAAAAGATGTATATATTTATGCATTCAAGAACTGGGGTACAGGCCAGAGATGTATGTGGGGTGCTAAAGATTCATCAGAGAGACGGAGTGGGGAACAGAACAGGCAGGTCTACTGAAATACACTGCTGAGGAGAGCAGCTGGTCGAACAGGAGAAGTCTCCCATGCCATATGGGTCATCACCCTGGCCAGGGATCAAACTCATGTTGCAGTGGCTGAATACAGCTTTAACCCATTGCATACAGGGAGGGCCCCAACCAAGAGAATCTTACTCTTCTTTCTAGGATGAGGGTTTATGCCATTATTAGCTACCTTAAACAAAATGTTTAATAGAAGATAGCATGATTAGCTGGCTTTTAGGTAAAGGTAATTAAGTAATAACCAAAAATGAACTAAGGACAAAACATGAGCTCTGAAGTCCATTAGGCTGGGTTTCAATCTCAGCCACCTCAGTTATTTGACCTTGACTCTCATTTGCCTCCTCTATAAAACGGTTGAACAAATATTGCTTCACAGTCTCCATTCTTTAATCAGACAGTTATTAAGCAAACACAATCTGTCGGATGTCAGAGCTTTGCATCCTGTGCTGCCCCTCAGTCCTGGACTAACCAAACAGTCGGTCACCTGTGTTGCAGAGTATAGTGCCAGGGTAAGCAGTGAAGGAAATACTTGAGCGCGGCTTCCTATTGAGGAAGTACTAGGGAAAACGGATAGTGGTGTGGGTACTTGTAGCGTCAGAGGTTGGCACATATCTAGAGAAGGTAAAGCAAGATGAGGGAGTGGGCAGGGCCAAAGGGAGATAGGTAACAGCTTGGGACACTGGGGCTGGGGGTGGTAGGCTGGGGGGACAAGTTGTTAGGGTCCTAAGGGCAGCAGCATGAAGATTTGCTCTCCTGGTGAGAAAGGTCCCTCAGGCTTTGGGAGAATGAGCAGCTGGTACTGCGGAGGCATGTGAACATGGTGAGTGGTGCACTCACTGTGTGGGGCCATGCCTAAGGTTGCACTTTGCCTTCACAGACAAAGAACCGGCGCTGCAAGCTGCTGCCTTTGGTGATGGCCGCACCTCTAAGTGTGGAGCAGGGCACAGTGACCATGGTGGGCATTCCCCCAGAGACTGACAGCTCGGACAGAAAGAAGTAAGCCGGCTTTTGCTTGTCCTGTGGCTATGTATCATTGATCTGTAGGCCCTGCTGCATGGATGGTGTTTTCCTTTAAGCCATACACAAAGCTTTTCCACCACAAAGCACATGAAGGCTTAAATTCTCAGACTGCAGGTTAACACCAAACCTGTTTTTCTTGATGAAACTTATGAGTGCTTGTAGTTTGCTTTCCTAAATAAGTGATGAAATCAGTAAGGGCAGTCATGAGTCAGCCTCAAGCACTTGTAGTGAGCAGGACACCTGGGATGAGCCCAGGCCATAGCTGTGTGAGGCAGCAAGTACTGAATGAGAGTGGCCACTGTAAGACGAGACTGGTCTGGAACTGCCCCCCAGTACATTCCCTGGGGGACAAGTTCCCATCCTGGTAGAGATTGTCAGGTCTTGTTCTGAAAGTGCAACACAGATACCAGCAGATGGAGGCCTCCATCTTTGGGCTACAGGTAACAGGATTTTGCTGTAAGAGAACTTGAGAACTCTTAGTAGCCCCACACCCACATAGCATAGGTAGAGGGGAGCAGAGGAATGGTGGCATACTTGCTGTTCTCTTCTCAGACTGTGCTGAAGCTGAGCATATCCTTCCAGGCCAGGGTGTCTGGCTCCCTTGGGCAAACCAAAGTCCTATCAGCTGACGATGGGTGACACCAGCAGTAGAGTGTAACCCAGTACCCTGGTTCTGTGGCTCTTGGGCAAGAACTCCCTAGGCTTAAACCCTCTTCTGAGAAGTAAGCAGTTTGCACCAAAAATTAGGAGTTTCAGTTCAGCCACCCCAGAAATTAAGCTTCACCTACAGGGTTCCTAGAGATCAACTGTGTGTGCATTGTCTTTGAAGCCTTCATGGACAAGCATCCACTGTCTCCTTGGGACCTCATGTTGACCTTTGGGACTTCAGAATCTATCCCTGTACCACCCAAATGAGTCAAGTTCATTGTTTGCTGAAACCCAAATTGAGATTTGTGTCGAATGCCTTTAAAAGTTCAGCTACAAGAGCTGAGGACAGTGCAGTGAGATACACAGGGATATGCCCAGAGTGCACTGCCATGCCCAAGCAGAGTTCCATGGATCTCTATGGTTTGGTCAGCAAATTGTGAGGGGTTTTTCACCCTTCTGCTGCTGCACTGTTGTGCTTCTTCCTGCCTGCTGCATCCAAGCCAGCTGTCACCAACAGATAGGGCCCAGGGCACACCTGGGTTCTCCCTGCCCTTCCATTCTGCACAGCCAGGGCAACCCATGGCCCATCCCTCCACTCCCTTACCTCCTAGGTGCAGCAGGCCTATGCTTTCTAGCACATCATTGTAAGCGACCTAGAACCCATCATGAGTGATGGCAGGCAACAGGATGCTGCCACCCAGCACCCCAAACTGACTAACTTCATGGGCAGTACTGGGGCAGCAGGGGGCTGAAGACCGCCTAGTGTCCTGCACCCCTGAGTGTTTCTAATTAGTTCTCCTTGGCCTCTTGCTACCGAGGACACTGGTCTCAAATCTGAATCAATCCTGACTCAGCTATCTTTAGCTTTGACCTTCTGGGTCTGCAAAAACCTCTTAGCAGTAAGTTGGGACAGGTGATGGACTTTATTTGAGATGAGTGCTTCCATGTTGGCCAGACTTAAAATTGCTGTGCTCTCAGATTATAGTCGTGCTAGAGTTTCCAAGGTACCAGCAAGCACGGTCCGCAGGGACCATCACTTTGGCCTTCACTGGTTGTCTGTCACTATGCTGTGTTGGTCAACGGACAGCTCTGACCCATCAGTCTCCTGCGAGAGTTTCCATGGAGTCTCAAAGCATACATCCCTTTCGGTCCTCCACAACACGCCTATCCTCCCTTCCATGACATTCCCTTCATTTGCACCCCCAGAGGGTAGTTCTGACTCTGCTGGCCTTTGTCCTCTTGGCAACTCAGGCTGGGCTACATCTCCAGGTGCTCCTGCCCCACTGCCCTTACTGCGCCACAAGACAGCTGCACTCCCCACCCAGCCGTGGGGGTGCCACCCAGTCCTGCTATGTTGTGTGAGCCCAGGTCTCAGCTGAGACCCTGGCTGACATCACTGCACTGGGCACTGGGAGACTGCAGCCAGCACCATTGGCTTGAAGCCTCGAGGAGCAGAGGACACTCAGCCTGAGCTGAGAAGCACTCAGCTGGAGCAGGTGGAGGCCAGCAACAAGGTGGTGACTGCCATTGAGCGGAGTAAGACCTTAGACATGTGAACCACTGGTTGATCCATTGGCCAGGGTAGAGTCTGGACCAATTCTTATATCCGTCCTCGGTGTGTAAGAAGGGTCTCCCATTGCCTCTCATGTGTCCACAGCTTTTTTGGACGGGCGTTTGAGAAGGCAGCAGAGGGCACTAATTCCCGGACACTGCACAACCATTTTGACCTTTCAGGTAAGAGTACCCTGCCCAGGGACCCCTTCAAGGTCATCTGATCTCGGAACCAGAGATCCTGGCATTGCTGGAGGGCCCAGCCCTCTGGTCATGCTGGAACCGACCCTGATCAGTTTCTCCTGAAACCTTTCTCCCTGGCTGTAGTCAGCCACTTTCTCACTGTGTCCGCCCAGAGTCGTCCTCTGTCATCCACTCTGTTGTGCGTGCCTTCTGTGTTTGTGTCCATATTTCCTTTATAAGGACACCGGTCTGATTGGATTATCCACTCTAAAAGCTCCATCTCCATATAGTTAGATTCTGAGGTGCACAGAGTTAGAGCTTCAGCATTGAACTTGTTAGGAGGGATATACTTTACCTCCTCTCAGAAAAGATTTTCTCACATCACCACCCCTGATTCCTTAACATTGATTCAGAGTCACTATCATTAAATACCCTGTTTGATTCCTAATTTGTTCAGGAGTCTAGAGCCAGATTTTTTACTCTGGGCCGACTCTGCAGCTTTAGGTTGGACATGTCCAATAGCAGCCACACTCCCTGTTTCCTGTCTCCCACACAGGAGAGGTTGGCCACAACTGATCTGCAGAATGTCCAGCTTGTTCCACAGGGAAGGATTTGGGGGCCAGGAGCTGCTTGGCTTTTCCTGTGGGTGGAGAATTGGGGGGTAGAAAATGGGGTTCAGGGGTAGATTTAGAGGGTGCTTTGGCTGGCACCTGCCTTTGTGGGCTGGGCTTGGGGCACCCGGAGCCATAGCTCTCACAACCAGCCTGCCGACTTTTGCTGTCTGATGATCTCCTGTGTATCTGCTGAGTCTGTTGATCCCGCAGAGATGCAGGTGATTGCATTGTGTTCTCTTCTATGGAAGAGGACACTGAAGCTGAGATACTGGCCTCCTGCTGACTCAGAGGCTTAGGGGGCAGGGCAATGCCAGCAGGGTGGCAAGGCCAGTGTCTGCCCTGTGGTTCTGAGTCACACATCCCTATGGGCTCTCTGCTAAGTGTCCTGGCTACCCAGAGGGTCCTCCCCACAGACCACAGCTCCAGCCTTGCCAACAGCAGCCAAGAATTTCTGAGGATTAAGTACTGAGACAGAAAAATGTAACCTCTTAGGCCCAGGATATTCCAGGCCATCAAGGAGTCTTGGACATTTTGGAATGTGCTGGATGGAGGTTTGTCCCTCTTAGACAGTTGGGAAAAGGAAGTTATTATGCTTGACTTGTTTTTCTCACCTCTCCCTCACTTTGCCCCTGCTCCTCCCTTCTCACAGATGTTTTTCTTTCATTACTTCAGTAATTGAACTGAAAGCAGAGGATCGGAGCAAGTTTCTGGATGCACTTGTTTCTCTCTTGTCCTAAGGGTAAGTTGGGAGGGTCAGGCACTGACTGGGTTCCCAGGGGCCTCCTCAGAGGACTCAGGTGGTCCTGCTGCAGGGCCTGGCTCTGTCCAAGTTGTCACAAGTGTCCCTGATACTCTGCCTCTCCTTAGTCATTGTCTTCCTCAAGCCAGGCTTCTACTTGGGCTTCAGACCTGAGCAGGCCTCCTGAAGAAACTTGGGGCCAATACATTTTTCACAGAAATGTCTGTCCCTAGGCTGCTGGCAGTGCCACAATGAGCCATTTTTGAGAAAGTTAATTACATTAAACTCCTAGGAACCCTTCTGAAAGAACCGGAGCTTGCTCTGGTCACAGTGGGTGGTCATCAGCATGCACAGCATGTGGGACACACAGACCTCGTATTGCCAGGAACAAGGGCTGCCTCTTGTGGGTGGGGAGCACCTGGAGAATTGCTCCCTTTGAAACCTTACTTCAGTCTCTGGGTGGGAGCCCACAAAGACATCTGTCTCGGCGCCTGTATGCCTGTTTTTGGGAAAGCAAAGCTTTTGGCAGCTACTCAGCTAAGAAATGTCTGTTCTACTTGGCCCCTCACTAGTGTGTGGCTGCTGCTGACAGCTTCCTGTGACACTGGATGCCCCACCAACCAGGGCTCTCCCCAGTGCCCCTCATTGCTACCTCTTTCTTGAGGAACCGCATGGAAAATGGGCCAGGGGCCTATTTTCTTAACCCAGTTTTCTGTCAGTGGATGCTCATGTCCAGTCCTGTGTCTCCCTAAGCTCTGGGCTGAAACCACTACTGTGGCAGAAGTGACCTGTCAAGGTAGAGGGTCCCCTTCTGCTGGCCCAGGATCCTCCCAATGCCCCCATCTGTGGTGAGCTGCAAGCTACAAGGGGCAGGTTCCCATATCCCTGTGGAAGTCCCAGTGGAATCTGCTAAGAACAGCATAGGGGTCCTCAGGGACTCTGCAGTCCCTCAGGGTGAGCTGGACTGGATCAGGCAGTTGGAGGAGATGTGGGGCCAAACCCTTTGGGTACCTTACATACAAGCTGAGCCTGTTCACTCATCTCACTCCTTTGGACAAGTGCTGGACCTCATGATAGGGCCTTAGGGCTAGGGGCAGAGGTGAAAATCTGTGACTCAAAGATTACAAGTGGGGACTCTGATGCTTTCTGCCACCAAGACAGTGCAGGATAGGTGAACTGGGAAGGGGAGAAGCCATGTGAGTATCTTCCCCCCACAAGGTGGCGTCTGCAAAGTGAGGAGGTGCTGGGGACCATACCAATAGCAGCCTGGCCCTGCCTGGGGGAACGATCTCTTTCCATAGACAGTGGGGTCCACTTGTGTGAATGGAGGAGGCTACCAGAAACAGCAGTCCAGCTTGTTGGAGGGAAGCCTGGACATTAATTTATTTGGGAAGGCTTTAATATTTTCTGACATTTTTTTTTCTTCTTTTTCAGCATTTGATTTCTTCAGAAATTACTTCCTCCTTATTTATATTAACTGGCTTTTATTCAGGTAGTAAGTTATGGATAAGAGTTTTAGAATCACGGACAATTGGTTTTTAATGAAATAAAATGCGTATTTTAGTTTCTATTCCTCCATCTTTGTTGCTTTGCTGTCACAGGGCCAACTCCTGATTGTGCCCTGAGTCTTCATGGGTCCAGAGGAGTCTTGATCATGTGTGCTGGGTGCCCTTGAAGGCCAGCAGGAAATGAGCACAATGGGTAACCACCCAGATCAGTCCCAGGGACAAAGTTGCCATGTACTGACCACTGCCCAGCGATACCATAGGGACTTAGCTGTCCACCTTCCCACCACTTCCTGTACACCTAACCTCAACAAGGCCACCCTCTTGACCAATCCCTGTAAGTCCCCACCCACTCACCAGAGCCCTCATCCATTGTCTGGGTGCCCACCAGGCCCACATACACACAGTAGGACCCACGAGGCTTCCGGGTGAGTCAGGCACAGATAGCAAGAACCTAAGCTAGGATGGGCAGGCTGTCTGAGGGGCTCCAGACAGATACCAAGTGCCAAGAAAGACCTCACCCATATACTGGTCACAGCGGTCGAAACTGGGTAGGACCATGGCAGGCAAGGTCTATGCATCAAGGATTCCCAGTCAAGACAGCTGTGGTGTCAGCAGGTCCTGCCTGCCAGATGTCTGAACACCTGCAAGGCAGAAGGAATCAGGAGACGAGGAGAATGTCACATGGTCCCTTCCTTCGAGGGAGGAGAGTGCTGTCTATATAAGTGGCAAAGAAGCCACTGTAGCTCCACCTGAGGCTAGGTACTAGGGAAGCAGGCAGGCTGAAGGACCATCCATGGTCACCTGGCTGTGGCACCTGAGACAGTGACAGAAGTTAGCGTGATTTGGGCAGGCTTTAGATTAGGGGTGGAGGGAAAACCCAGAAAAGAGTGACTTGGGACTGACGATGCAGGTGAGTGTAGCCAAGTCTCAGGTGATCATCGAAAATGGCCAGCAGGCACCATGAGGTCAGTTGGATTGGAGGCCAGCTCTTCTCCCTGACCTCCAGCAGTGGCCCTACCTACCAGGAACAGGGCTGCTCTTTCTGGAATGGATCGGCCAATAGTCAGTGTTCCCCACTGGGCTCCCCCAAGACTCTCTAGCTGTTAGTTCTGGGAAGCTAGTGCTGTACAGCCCTTGGGAATAGAAGCTGATGCCTGGGACCTGAAGGAGTCAGAGCTCTGCCCTGACTGCTCCGCCTCCAGCTTCTACTCCTGGCCCAACACCCTGTCCTGGGCACTGTTGGCCCAGCAGCCGGGGCAGAGTGCATGGACCTTTGCTCTGAGTTCCTTAGAAGGGCACTTGTGTGCCCTGGGGTGGCTCTTGGTCCCTGCTGCACAAAGCAGAGGGCGGGACAGAGGCTGCAGGTACAGGGATTGACCATTGTTGGGAGTGCAGGTCACCAGGTTTTCTGGCTTTCCTGAAAGTCCCACTCCCTGACTGATCCTGAATCTGTCTGGGTTTTGGAGCAGTCTTCACAGCATCTGCTGAGTCTGGCCTCGGGTATCTCCCCTTTCCTTATGGTGGGCAATCAGGCCAATCTTGGGAGAGCTCTCGCTGCTGGATGCAGCCCACATATCTACGTTCAGTGCGGGTGGCAGATGCCAATCCTTCTGCTGTGCTTGAAGTTCCTCCCTGCAGTGCCCACTCCTGTGTACTTGTATCTTATGCCCTTTGGCAGATGTGAAAGCATATCATTAGTTCAAAGTACCTAATCAGGCTAGAAGCAACGAGCTCTGAGTTGTAAAACTCTGGCTTGTTTTACCCTGCTTCTACCTCCTTCCATATGATTTCCCCCACCCCCCACCCCCAACACACACATACAGCTCACACAGGGTGCTTCCAGCATGACTGGCAAAGGTGCTGATGTCTGGGCTGGACATGGATAGCAGGGTGAGTACAGAGCTACATAAGGACTGACCAAAGGGTTTGGGATGGGAGCAGAGCCTAGGCACTCGGCACCTGGCTGCCAGTGCCTTCTTCCATGCAAAGTTCTTGTTCTGTAGTTTGTTTTCCTGGAGCCATGCACACATCCTGAATTTGCCCATTTCCACAACACCATTGGCAGAAAGAGCCTGGTAGGTGTTGTACAGATGCCCATGGCCATTTGGTGTAACCTGGAAATAGAGGCCTGAGAAGGATGTGGGAAGCACCCACCCTGTGGTTCATGGAGCTCAGGCTCTTGGGCAAGGCAAGCTGCCTGGCTGTTCACTCTTACCCTTCATTCCAAGATTCCCACTTACTGGCCAGGGTTGTGGGAGGGGTGATACCAACTGGGCTCTGCATGTCTGCCCAGGACCGCTTCCCATGCCCCCCATCCTCACCCCCCCACAATGGCTCAACAACAGCTACTCTTGACTACACACCTCACTTTCCTGGGTTGTAGCAAGCTGTGACTTCCAGTCTGCAGGAAGGTGTCTGGGAAGCAGAGAGGGTTCAAGAAAAGGTCATGGGATCTTCTGGACCACAGAGGCCAGTGCTGGGGGATCTGTACAGAAGGGGAGCAGTGGGTGGGTGAGAAATGGGGCTGCTAGGGAAAGGACAGAGAACAGGACACAGGTGGGAGGTATTCAAACCATTTACTAAACAAATTCTTACCCTCCCCTAAGCTGCGCAGGGCCCCAGCCTCACACCCAGGATCTGGTGTCCACAAGTCTCGCCTTGGTAGCTTGCCGGGTGAGGTCCAAGTCTCGGTTCTCCCTGGTCCACGTCCCACCTATGAGGCCAAGGCCGGTAGTACATTTCTCCCGCAGCCCAGTTTAGGACCCTGGGTTCTTTTGCCTCTCTGGAATCACGAGGAGCAGCTGGGGATGACTGCGTCATCCAAGACCCAGAGGATCAGGGACAGAAGAGGCATTTTCAGTCTAGTGGCTACAAGGCAGGTGGATCGCGCGTCCAACATAGATAAGAGCGAGCAGCGCGCACAGAAAAAACTTAGTAAGTCCTCCAAGTGCCTTTCGCTGATTCGGGGCAGGGCGCGGCTGATGGCTGACAGAACAGGCTGTGAGCTGATCTCTGCCTGTGGGCCGCGTCCTGGTGTAGAGTGGGCGGCTCTGCGGAGCACGTACGCTGCACTGCGCGGTCCAGCGGAGTTCGCCGTCCACGCAGGCTCCCTGGGCCGGTGTCCGGCTCGCGGGCGTGGCTGGCGCGCGGAAACCCGCGGTGCTCCGCGCGCTCAAACATAGTTCTTTTTGTCGTAGTCGCCGCTGGCCGCGGGCCGCCGCGGCGCGGAGTACTTGACCGGGAAGCCGAGGTCCGGGCGACCGGCGTAAACCCAGGCGCCGCAGCACACTAGGCCACCGCCGCACATCAGCAGAGCCGAGGCCGCCCAGCCGATGTACAGCGCTGCGCCCAACTCATACTTCTGCGACATGGGCACGGTTGGGTCATAGAACTCGCGGACCACGATGTTGGCAAACCAGCAAAGTGGCACCAGCGCCAGCAGCCCACAGAGCGCGTAGAGAGCGCCGCCCGTGAGCGCCACGCGCGCCTTCCCCGGGCCGGGGGCCACGCAGGTGGTGCACTGCGCGCCCGCCAGGCTCACGAAGAGCGCAACTAGCGCTAGAAGCACGGCGCTGACGGTCAGCGCCCGAGCCGCCTGCACTTCCGTGCTCAGGGCTAGCACCGAGTCGTACACCTTGCACTGCATGTGCCCGGTGCTTTGCACCACACACGACATCCACAGCCCCTTCCAGGTGGTCTGCGCCGTCACGATGTTGTGGTCCAAGAAGGCGGTCACTTGCCACATGGGCAGTCCGCACGCCAGGATCAAGCCCACCCATCCCACCAGGCACAGCACCAGGCCGAGGATCTCCAGCGCCGCAGACCCCATGGCTGGAGACAAGACGCGCGTCCGACGGCCCAGGAGCCTCCAGATGGACGCCGAAGTGCCTCTCGCGAACCGCTAGGGCCCTAAACGGGCCCGACTACCTCCGCGCCCTCGCCTGGGCTCAAAACCCTCTCGATACGTCCTGCGGGTGGGCAGCTCGGCCTCGGATCTAAGGGTGCCTCCAGGGGGGCTTCCTATTTGAAGGTCGGGGCGGATCTGTCCCTCAGGCCAGGCCCCCCAGCCCTGACCAGCCAATCCGCACGCGGATTACGGCCTTCAACCAATGACAGCCCCCCTCCCCCACACCCCACACCCCGAGCTGGGGGAGTTGGCGAAACAACTGCGTGAGGGTAGCGAAGAGTGCAAGGCCCCCTCTGCCCCGCCGCCACCGTCTCCCTACCCCCCTGCAACCACTGGAGTCTCCGCTGAGGGCGTTCGGGCTGACGTGGGGGCCCCCCCCCACCCCGCGCGTACACTTCCCGAGCCGAGCCTCTTCCCGCTTTCCCCTGCCACTTCATTAGCTGACAGGAACCTTGCCTTGCACTAATGTCCCCCGTCACAATCCTGAGTAAGCCTGAAGGTCCCTACTAACCTTGCCCACTCCGAAGCTTGCCCTGGATTCCATGCCCAGCCCAGGTCCTTTCTGTGCGGTGCCCCTCGAGTCCTGGCACTGTCTGCCCACAGATTGAGAGACTAGACAAGCCTGTGCTGGTCAAGGCAGGGGCTCCTGATTCTCCCAAAATCCTACCTAGCACCACTGTCCAACTGCTGCGCCAAGGGGCCAGCAGAGAACAGGCAGCACAAGGCCTTTCAACTGCTGCCCCCAACCTTACTGCACTTGTTTCTAGGGCTTCGCAGACCTCCATCCTTCCAACCAGCTGCTCCTCTTGAGCTGTTGTCCATACCCCAACCTCAGAGGCCCAGCTCCAGCGACACCATTAAGGAAGTCACCAGTGTTCCCCAAAATACAGTACACAGACTTCTCTCCAAGAGCTGCCTGTGGCTTCAGGCCTAGCTGCTTGCTCTGACCCTTAGACAGGAGAGACACAAAGGGATAGGTCGGGACTGTGCTGTTCCACCAGTGGCAGTTGTACCCCTGGCACCCCAGGCTTCTGGCCACCCTCCGGAAGCCAACTTGGAGTTTCCTGGCTAGGAGGAAGAGCCCCCATCCTCACTGGAGGCGGAGGTGCGGATTTCCGGGCATTCTTCTGCACAATGGCCCAGCCATTTCTTGAAAGTCTCATTGGGATGGTTCTGAGACCCCCTGAGGCTCAGGTGGGGATAGGAGGCCTGAAATTTACAACCCCCTAGAGGCACCAGTTCCCTTTCTGGGAGACCTCTCCCCAATCCCTGTTCTGCACTGATGTGGTGAGAGGCTATGATACACAGCCCTCCAAAGAGGAGGCATGGTATGGGAGCCTGACACACACTCAGAGCTTTGGCAAACCTCTCCTCCTCGGCTCTGCTTCCTTCTCCCTCCTCACATGGCTCTGAATTAAAAGGCGCACCCTGACTGTCCAGTGTAGGGAGGCATTAAAGACAAGCTTGCCTGTGGGTGGGGCTTGGGTTTGGGGCAGTTTTGCTCCCCTTCTTAAACTCAAACTTCACCTCAGTGCACAGGATGGTGCTCTGAGGACGGATGCCTCCCTCTCCCCAGACACCAGCTCACTTGTTGCTTCCCTCCTATAGCACACCCACAGCCACTCCCCTACCAGCCTGCAGATCTCCCTGGACACCCCCTCCCCACACACCAAGTCCTTGCCAGGGTCCTCCCACCACCCTTCTCACTGCTCTCTATCCTTTGTGACTACTGCAGGCTCTCTGGCCTCCTGGCCTCTGCTGAGTTCTCCTCTTGAGTCATTCTCCTGAGGGCAACTGTGTCATCTCAGTAGTTCTGGCGCATCTCCCTCACCTGGCTCACGTTGCCTAAAACCATCTGTGGCTCAAGATGCCTGAAGACATAGTGTTGAGTCCCCAAAGTGTTGCATAGGGATGTGCACCCATCTGCGTTGGATCTTGACAGTCCTGCAGCATATAATCCACACCCCATCCAGACTGCACCCTCAGACTAGTGTGTCTCTCAGCCACTGTCTCTTCTGCCTTCAGTGCATGTCTCTCAGGTAGTTGTGCTATTAAGGCTATGTCTTCCTGGATATCTTTCTGCCACCCAACCCCAGCATGGTTCCCAGAAGCCTCCTGGAACTGTTCATATGCTTGCTGGCCTCTCTGCCAGCATGCAGGAATAAGCCTCAACACAGTGACAATCTTCATGCATCTGTCCTGGGCAGGGGACTGCCTGTGATCACAGCTGACCTATGGCTGCCTGTATCCCCATCAGCCAGCTTAAGACTGAAACCAGCAGAAAGCTCTCCTCCTTCATCAGCCTCCTTCTCTCTACCACTTTAGGCCCATCCCAGCACCCAACACCACCCTGAGGTGGTCCCAGCAAGCCCATGTCTCTTTGGGGACAGACTCACAGTATCATAGGGAACTGATGGAAGGACCTCTGCCTCACAATCGGACTTCCACCCCAAACCACTGTGTTGGTTATGGCCTCAGCCCACAGTAGATCCAGAGATACTGCAGAGAGATCCAACCCAAACCTAGGAGGACATGAAACCATACCTACCCTTCCTGCCACTCTCTAGGACCGATCTCCTGGCCACCTGATGTGTGATCTCCTGGCCACCTACTGCATACTGTGTACAGTCTCTGGGCATAGTGATGCCCAGAGAACTCCTGCCTGGCTGACAAATAAAAACTCCTACCAGTAACTGAGTCAGACCATCTTAGGTGTGCTTATGGTTACAGGGGAAAGAGATGCCATCTCTTGTCACAAAGGGCTCTTTGAGGAGGTGATCGTTCAATCTGGGAGGGAAAAAGTTTTGTGCAAGAACCCAGAACTGGGAAGTGGTATGGTGACCAAGGGGCAGAGGAGCCTGGCAGGCCAGGCTACACAGTGGACTAGGGCCTGCAGGCCCAGGTCAGAGGCAGCCTGGAACTGAATAGGGCTGTGAATCCATGATCTCTGGCAAGGGGCTCGAGAGCCAGCACATTGGCCAAGGCCACCTGCTCATCTACAGCTATTGTTCTGCTTTCCCAGGGGAAGTGTGGCAGGATCTCATTAATTGTGAGGGAAAGGCCTGAGTCGGCAAAAAGCAAAGTTTATCTTGAGCAGCTGCAGGCTGACCCTGTACCAGGATGATCCAGTGACCTTCCAAGGACAATCTAAATTTAGGTCCCCGATTCATGGGGACTAGGGCTTGGGAAGCTTCTAGCTGGGATTTCAATTCAGGGGAAGTGAGAAACAATATTCCTTCCACCTTTCAGCTTTGAAACAGTTAAGGATGTTTCCCTTCAGTGTAGCAGATGTTTGCAGAGTATGTCTCCTGTTTAAGGGTCAGAGGAAGAGCACAGAGCTCAGTGCCCTTTCTGGGTGTTTGAGAAGCATCATGGGCAAGGCGGCACTCAGTTCTGCTCTGGGGGCATGAGGTGTCTTGTATGGGAAGGATAGTCCTTGTGCTGGTTCACAGAGCACCCTGCCTGGGCAATGTCGAGCCTGGGTTATTGGCATTGTTATTCTTTGTGGTCAGGACCGTAGCATAGAGTCAGATTTGCCCCTACAAGCAGTAAGCTTTTCTGATGAATAAACTTTTCTTGTCTTGGTTTCTCCACTGGTAACAAAACCCTTCAAGTTAGAGGCTATAAGGGTGGAGGGTCTTCTGCTGTCCTAGAGTAACCAACAGACTCCTGAGACATTCTTCCTTGGCTCCCTTGACCTTCAGAGCTCATCTGACATCAGTTTTGTCCCTTAGAGTTGGTGCCACCAGCTGTTAGTTGAAATCGGAGGGCACTATGGCTTTACCTTTGACCATAGATTGGGAAATGAGGAGAAGGGGACTCTGGTTATCAGAGCTCCAGGGTGCTCATGAACCACAGTGGATGGTAGTTTCTGCAGGGCTCTGTGGTTCCCTGGGAGCCCAGGAAAGACCAACCAAGGATTCTGTGAAATGACAACAGTGCCCCTAGGGGCCAGAACGGCACCTTACCAGCTGCCCTTTACCCTGTGCTGCCTCATGGCCTCTCTGTCCACTTTCCCACCCTAGCCCCTTCCTTCTCCGCATATTGCATTTTGCAACAGTTTTGTACTTTTTCCACTTAATGTTCTAGAACCTCCTTTTTCATTTAGCATCAGTGTTAACATGTTGCTGCTTCCTTTCTAACTACAGGGAAGATGGCCTAAGGGTGTCAGGAAAGAGTCATCTATCTGTACCACTGATGGGGAGGGAGGACAGGGTATGACAACCAGCAATCTGTTCTGAGGCTGTGAAAAGTGGGGGTGGTGATGGGATGAGCTGGCCATCAAAAGGGCTTAGTGGAAAGCACATCCTGGTTCCAGGTAGACGCTGGATTTAATGGTAACATAGTTTGATCATTCTGATAGTTGTATAACCTTCCCTCAAGACAGTGTTACAAATGATAACTACTATAAATAGTGCTACTATACATGTCATTATTCATAAATCTTTGTATTTGGGGATGATTTCCTCAGGAAAAATTCCTTGAAGTAGAATTTCTGGCTCACATCCAGGAGGTTTCACTGACTGGTACCTGAATTGCATACTCAGTTTTTGAAAGTTTACTAGCTGAGTAAGAAGAAACCATTTTCTGACTTTAACTTTCACTTCTTTGAATAGTAATAAAGTAAAATGTTATACCCAGTTGATACTGGTTATTTTTACATCCTCTTTGGTGAGTTGTGTTTTCCTTACTTTATAAGTTAGAAACATTACTTGCTGTCCATTTATCATTTGCTACTTAATATTTTAATGATTATTTCCAGGATATTATTATAAAAGCTTAAATTTTTGAGTATTTGAATCTGTTAAGATTTTCTCTGTATGACTTCTATCTTTACTTTTTACTGTTAAAAAATCCTTCTATATCCAGAAGATACGAATTAAGTAATATTTTCTTATCTTTTCCATCTATCTCTCCTGAGGCCAAGGAAGGCTTCTGATTCTAATCAAGATAGATGGGGACTATCAAGAGTTCACAGTTTTATGCTCAATAGAAAAATGGAGGGAGACAGAAGAAATAGTCAACTTGAAGATAGAATAATAAGATTATTCCATCTGAATAAGATAGAGAATGG